TGCCAGAGTACTAGTCCACTAGATCATCCGACGAATAAAATGTGCAAAGCCAAGTTGGTCGTATCCGCCGCTGTTGGGACCATAGTCGCACCACGCCCTCGGCTCGCTGCCGTTCTTCACGACATGTCGCGATACTCCCTGGTCCAGGAAGCGTTGAGGCCGCGGACCGACTCGTAGTGCGCAACGAGCAGCTCACCAATCGGCCTGATGTCGCCGCGGTCTTGCGAGCTGATAGTCCTGTACGTGCCGTGGGAGTTTTTGAACGTAGCAAAAGGCACGTCGTGGAATGTGTTGTACTTGGTAGCGTACTCGGCTCTGGTGTCGCTGTCAGCGGGATGGAAAGCCACGAAGCCGGAAAAGACTTACCCGGCGAGGATACGGTTATCCAGCAGTGCGAAGAGGTCTTCGCCCTGGTTGTAGCTCTGCTGCGCCAGGACGCCAAGCAGGTTCTGGTTGAACATGGTATGGCCTTGATCGCGGCCTGACTCTTGGTTTTGGCCAAGCTGCTTGCCCGAGCCTTCTTCGGTGTGGATCGTCCAGATGGCGTTCTTGATAGCTCCGTTACCAGCGCCGTTCTTGAAGTAGTCGATCGCCTCCTTAATCATAGTGTTGTTGTCGGACAGCACTCCGATGGCATGCATAGAGCAAAGGGTACAGAGATCCCACTAGTACAGCGTCATGTTAGCCATTTCCAGTGCATTATGAGACCTTGACTGGGTTGAGTTTCTCTCACGTTTGCCCAGTAGTTGTCAATCTTGGCATCATTGTGCTCGACCAAGAATCGGTGGTTCATGGGGTAGAACCTGTTCCTCAGGAAGGAGATGGCAGCTGAGAGCCCCTTCCAGCCATTGTAGTCTCTCAGAATCTCAGCCACATTGGCATACTGGTAGCCGTAGATGCCAGCAGCAAGGTACCGATCTGCGCTCCCCTGGATCTCAGGGTTCTTGCTGCTCCAAGCATCAAGAATGGCAGCCGCCGTGTCGGCGTTGGCAGTCGTGCCCGTTATCTTCCAGTAGACGGCGTTGGCGTAAGCAGTGTGAACGTCACGGTAGAACGAGGCGTAGTTCTGGGTGCAGTCAGAGTCACCGCGGCAAATGACATCCTGCGCGTGAGGCACGGCTTTCACATCAGCGCGTGCGACGAGCTTGGCCCATCCAGTTGCGAAGGGCTCCTTCTTGGAGTCCACCAGGCCTTTGATGCGTTTGAAATCGTCAGCCGTGTGAAGGAGGCCTGGGTGGTTCAAACTCTGTCGAGTCTCAGGTTGGGCATGCTGGGGACGGGCCCGGCTGGCATCCACCACCGTCAGGGGCAGGGAAAGAAGACTGAGAAGGGCAATACACTTCATGGTGATGAGAGATGAAGGCTATGAAGTGAGTGTGATCTACCATTTCAAAGTGTTGCAGAGTCTCGTTAGCCGGCCTTTATATCAATGTCTCATTTCAGACTCAGACTATAGTGAAGACTCAAGGTGATATCAGGCATCGCTAATCAGTGCCCAGTGGCTCCCTTGCATCGCCGCGGGGCTTCGCTGGCAGTTGTTGCGCCGTCAAGGAAACGCATTCGGCATTGGGAAACGTAGAAACCTTCCGGCGTGTGATTGAGAGGGGCTCAAGGGGGCGGGTACGTGGCCCGAATCGGTAGCCGACGTTCCACAGAGATTACCACTCGCTGTCACCCTGTTCTGCTCCACCGCCATCGTCAACTGGACCATGCTTCGAACAATGAATGCAGAACAACATGAAGTGTGTTCGCGACGGAAGATCCTGAGTGTATGTCGAGGACCCAACGGCCCGGCTCTTCCCCGGGTTTCAATCTGGGGAAACAGCGCCTCCTCCGCACGGCATATGGAAATCTCCCAGAGATCATTTGCCAAAAGCGTGGATCGCCACGAACATGCCCGCGTTGGGTGAATGTTCCCCGCAAGGTGGTGGGATGACGGGCAGTAATGAAGGCCACGGGACGCGTCCGGGTTGATGGCCTTTGGACGCATCGCGCAGAACCGGGGCATCGCGCCGATACTTGGCCCGGTCTGGAGGTATGGTGGCTTGGAAGCGCCATTATCAAACGGCACGAAAGCCGACGCATTCCCCGCAACAACGTGTGCAAGCGACCCTGACAGCACTGAGGCGGACTTCCCCGCCGTGTCAACCCGGGCTGTTTTGGTGCGGATACGACCCAGAAGGCAAGATTGACATGGAGACATTTAGGAGTCGGTTCCTGACAGGAAATGAGGGGCTAATCCCAGGAACCCCGCGATCTGTCGGCGACGGCCAGGTATCGGGGTTCGATAGAGAATAACTGGCAAGCAATGGCTGTATAAAGATGTCTGGCGGCCATTTGAGTCTTCTCATGCTTCACTTGCCCACCCGTTGTGCAGTGCTTTGAGTCAAATTTGCCGAAGAACCTGAGGTCCGTTGGATCCCTGCTTTTAGGATGAAGCTTTCCGTGGCGAGAGTAAGATGAATCCACTTGATCGTCCGGTAGTTCCGCTGCTGACATATTCAAGCTTGGACTTTTCCTCCTCCCACTCATAGACCAAGCGACATCCTTGGTCTCGAACTTGCCGACTCTCAATGGTAATTATAACTCTCCCGCTATGGCAGCGAGTGGTCACGGCTGACCCCACCAGGTCCCGTTCCGCCGGTGATGCCCAGGGGCGGCAAGACGGGTCTCGGACAGTTCAAGCACCCGGGTCTTTGGCACTCGCACGACGACCTCGAGCTCATGCGCACCAAGGTCGGCGAGAAGAAGGAGCCATGGATAAGCGGCTTCAACGCGCTCCAGGCCGACTCGTACTCGTCGGTCGACTACAGGATGCAGGGGCCCAAGGAGGTGCTGTCGCGGGGGCGGCCGAGCAACTACACGACCTTCACGGCCGACACGCGCGCAGCGTACCAACACGCCATCTTGTGGTACATCACGCGTGACGACGCGCATTTCAAGGTCGCCACGAGCATCATTGACGCGTGGGGCACCAACCTGACCAACATCATCGGCATCGACACGAGCCTGCTCGTCGGTATCGAGGGCGACATTCTCGTCAACGCCGCCGAGATCCTGCGCTGGGAGGGCAACTGGACCGAGGCCGGCGCCAAGTGGCAGGGCGGCACGGGCTTCTCGAACCAGCTCTACTGGCTCTTTGCCCGCCAGTCGATCATCATCGGCCACGCCAACTACGGCATGGCCTCGATCAAGGCGCTGCTCAACTTTGCCGTCTACCTCGACGATGTGAACCTGTTCAACTACGCGCTCAACGCCTACCTCAACGACCTCTGCGCCGGGCTGCCCGGAAACTTCAACCGCAGGACGGGCCAGTCGTCCGAGGCGGGCCGCGACCAGTCGCACGTCCAGTCTGGCCTCGGCTGGGCGGCGCTCGCGGCCGAGACGCTCGAGACGCAAGGGATTGACGCGTGGAGCGAGCTCGACAGCGTGCTGCTCACGGCGTCCGAGTACACGGCCAAGTACAACCTCAACGAGACGGTGGAGTACGATGCCCAGTTTTCGCGCTGCCTCGCCGTTCTCGTTGATGGGCCGTGGGACGCGATTTCAGAGCAGAAGCGTGGCATCAGCCCTGACCTGCCGGGCGTGTGGGACCTCATCTACTACAAGTACGTGGTGCAGAAAGGGAAGAAGGCACCATGGACGGCCAAGGCCAAGGCGTTTTACGACGCGCAGGGTGGGCAGACGTCTGGCGGGTATACTGTCATGGGCTGGGGCGACCTGATCTGGGCGAAGGAGGGCAGGAAAAAGCGGTTCTGGGAGAGGGACAGCTGGAGGATGTAAGTCATCGTCGCATGCTGCGTGCGGCGGGGCGCGAATCCAAGTCTTGCTAGATGTAGGAGCTCCCATAGACTACGTTTGGGGATGGCAAATACAACGATGATTTCAAGCACAACGAACCCCGCCAAGACCCGATCATGGCCAGCCCAGCTTAGAAAAGGCAATCATGTTCGTCTCGGAAACGCATGCACTGCGCGTATCAAAAGTCCTCCATTTTCATGACACTATAGGAGACTTCTTCGTATGGATGGGCTCTGGAGCGCGCCGTTTAGTAGCGGGACATGTTCGAGCGCCTACGGTTCACACTCACAGCTTCAACGCCGCGACGGCCTTTCTCACTACGTCTTCACCAACGCAGAGAGTCTCGGCTCTTGCTTCATGCAGCTCTTCGAGCTCGCCGGGCTTGCCAATGGCCGGCTTTGCGCCGTCGCCTGGGCGGAACTGTCCCGCGCCGATGGTCGACCAGCAGACCTCGGTGTAGTTGCCCGGTCCCGGGAAGCGACCGGCGCCCACGTCGAATATGGCTCGTTTACAGGCTTCGAGATGGGTCTCGGGGACGTGGAACACGAGACGATAGCGGGTGGGCGAAGAGGACGTCATGTCTTGGGTTGGCGGGAAGGGGTTGTGAGGGTTGTGTGTGTTGTACGAACGAAGAATGACGATGGTGTGTCTGTGTAATCATTCACTATGTACAGATCTGAACTTGAAGAAGGAGGAAAGAAGGTTAAATAGTTGAGGGTAAGTAGACTGTCCACTCGAGGTGGGACATTGTTCCTTGTTGAAAAGCCGAATCCCGATCGGTTCACCTGAAGTATGGCAACATGGTGGCGTAACTAAATGCAATCCACGCTCATCGTAATGCTTGACTCGTGAGCCAAGATCAATGCCATCGGGGGACGAAATCCGATGTGACGAAGTTGGACGATCAAGGATGGTAGAGGACAGTAGAGGGAGACGCCGAGGGATGCCAGTATGCGGTATTCCGAGTCATGTATCTATCCAGGTCCAGGCGCTCGCAAAGCCGCTACCGCATCATCTCAAAGCCGTAGGCGCATGCGTCAAACCCGTCCCAGCAGTTCCCTCACAGTTCCCTCATAACCTTACTGACCTCAGATATCTTCCCGGCTGGTACGGTACCTATGCATGTCACAGCACCCACCACGGGGTCCATATCCGTCGCCGCCAAGATGCCGCCCCCCAGGACACTCCTCTTCAGCCTCGGAAACCCGTCGCCGTACCTGAACACCCTCCACTCGGCCGGCCACCACGCCCTCGCCGCCCTGATCCCCCTGCTGCCCTCCCAGCCGGCCCTCGCCAAGACCCGCCACGCCGCCAAAGCACCCCTCGCCTCCCTGTCCCCCGCCTACGCCCTCCTGCAGTCCCCGTCCCTCATGAACGTGTCCGGCAAGTACGCCGCCGCCGCCTACCGCGCCTTCGAGGACCCGACGCTGTCCCTGCTCGTCGTGCACGACGACCTGGAAGAGGACCTCGGCGTCGTGCGCATCAGGAAGTGGAACAGCTCGCACAGGGGCCACAACGGCGTCAAGAGCGTCGGCAAGCTGCTGCGGCCGGCCGACTTTCCCGCCGCGCGGTTCGCGCGCATCAGTGTCGGCATTGGGCGGCCCGAGGCCAGGGAGAGGGAGGCCGTGTCGGAGTACGTCCTCAGGGAGATGACGGGCGTCGAGAGGAGCGTGTTGGCCGAGAAGGCGGGCGAGGGAGTGCTGCGCTGCTTGCGGGAATGGGAGGCGCAGTTTGGGGAGCGGGACCCGTGAGAGTTGCTGCGGGCTGGACGCTGGTGACGGGAGGTAACTTGTCTTCACGTGAAGGCACAGGCCTTGCGCATCAAGGCGAGGCCTTGCTGCTGAAGTCCAAGGCTCGATCGACATGATGCCCTCTCACTGACGACCACGGCGTGCACGACATCACAAATTCGGTCGAGGACGATAAACCCACCCAGTCTACCTGTACAACATTTCGGCATAAACGATGCATCACACAGAATGCATTTTGTATTTCTCCCAGCATCACCTGGCGTCCTTGTCCTGTGGCCTGCCATCCAGCCACTTGCTCATGTAGGGCCCGTCCAGCCAGTACCCCAGCTTGGCATAATAACTCCTGACACCGACACCCGAGATGACGCTGATCTTGGTACTGCCGTGCTCGTCCCGCGCTATCCTCTCCGCCTCCTCCATCAACAGCGTGCCGAAGCCTTGGTGCTGGAACTTCTTGGGGTCCCTCGCATGCACCGGCACCGCCGTGCCGTACACGTGCAGCTCGCGCACGAGGCTCGTCGGCTGGCCCACGAGCTCTTCGCGGAACGTGTACTTGTCGCTGCACTTGCGCAGCCGCAGCAGCGCCACGAGTATGTCCTGCTTGGGGTCCTCGTACGCCAGAAACGTCTCCCACCCGCCGTTGGCCGTGTAGTCGCGCCGCACGAGCTCAATCTGGTTCGGCCGGATCTTGTGCTTGACCTCGTTGACGCCGACCTCGCGCGTCCGGACGTCGCGACATGACGTGCCAAAGTCCTTCATCCTCGCCAGCGCCAGCTCGCGCAGGTTGCCGTTCTCCACGCCCGACGTCACGAGCGGCATGGGGATGTCGCGCTGCACACGGTAGATGCGCGTCCACGGCGGCACGAGCGCCATGATCCTCGCGACGAGGTCAATGAGCTCGTTGGGTGTGTAGTTTTGGTAGCGTCCCGTCCGCCACAATTCGTAGAGGCCGGTTCCGCGGATGACGAGCGTCGGGTAGATTTTCAGGCCGTCCGTCCGGAAGGCTGGGTTCTCGAAATACTCCCGGAACTGGTCCAGGTCTCGCTCCATGCCGCAGTTGGGCAGGTCCGGCATCATGTGGCTGACAACCTTGTACCCGGCGTCCTTGGAATAGCAGAAGGTCTCTGCCACGGCGGCCACTGTGTGCCCTCGATTCGTGTCCCGCGCCACGTCCTCGTAGAGAGACTGCACGCCCACCTCCAACCTCGTACAACCATACCGCAGCATGTCTGACAGGTGTGGTTGCAGGCAGTAGTCCGGCCTCGTCTCGATTGTGATGCCGACACACTTGATGTTGCTCATCTCGCCCGCCTCCACGGCTTCGTCCACATTGGACGTCTGGTAGCCGCTGAGGGCATTGTGCAGTTGCGCGATGAAGTCCTCGCGGTAGGACTCGGCCAGCGACATGAATGTTCCTCCCATGATGATGTATTCGACCTTGTCCACCGAGTGACCGAGAGACTTGAGCTGGTCGACACGGCCTCGCGCCTGTTCGAATGGGTCGTATCGCGCGCGGATGGCACGCATTGACGTGGGCTCGTACCCAGTGTAGGACTGTGTGCTGTACTCGAAATCGGAGTCGGGGCCGCCAGGGCAGTAGACGCAAATGTTACCGGTGTAGGCAATGTGAGGACACCTGTGTGGCTTGCACATGACGGCGACGACGGCGATACCTGAGGATGTTCCTGTGCCTATTTAGAAAAAGGGCCACGGTGGAAGAAAAAGAGAAACGATCTTGGGGCACATACGGATAGGCTTCGCAATCAGCTTCGGCAGGATGTATTTCTTGTAGTGTTCGGGAATGGCAGCGATGATGGCGGTCAAGGAGGGAATGTTGGCGAGCTTGTGCTTCTTGGCACACTTGTTTCGTAGTTGGTTGAGGTTGATGTCCCTCTTGGGCTTCTTCGGGTCGCTCGAGGCTTCATGATCCTCGATCAGGGCGTTGACTACATCGGCGCAACACCGCAGGAAACGCTCGTTCTCGGGGGCAAGGTTTTCCGTCTTGGGCTTTGGCCGGTGGGTGGCCGTAGCCGTCATTGTTGTTGTGGCCATGGTGTGTGTGTGGCATACGAGGAAGATGTTGGCAGATCAAGTTTCGACGGCTTGTATCGAGAATCTGTATGCAGTTGCAGTGCTTCCAGAAATTTTGGAGGCAATCGCCTGGGCTGCCGTAGTAGTGGTGCACCACCACTTCAAGATCAGTGATCTCGAAAGTCAGTAGCATCTGATGGTGGGGGAGGGGACAGAACAAAGTGGGACCCTTTGACCAAGGCTGATGGATGACTACTCAGTGGTGATGACTACGCAGGTGATGACTACGCAGGTGATGACTACGCAGGTGGTGATGACTGATGACCGTCCATTTGCCAGCTCGGCGATTGGCTCGGCGGGAACAATCCATCTCCGACAGCTCGCTCCCTTGCTCTGCGTGCCTCTGCCCTGGCTCGGGCGTGCCTCAGTGCCTCAGAGCCTCAGAGCCTGAAGGAGGCCCCTCTGGTCGCGGGTTTTCCCGGTGCTGCCGGCCAGTCAACAGTGTAACCGAACTGGAATCTGGCCGTATGGCCCGAGCGCCCCCCCCCAGCAGCTGCCGAATGGCACCTGGAACTCCAAGTTTTGACGCTTCGTGTTTGGAGGCCGCGATGAATTGAGCTCTTCTCCTGTTGGTTTTCCCCCCCGAATAACGCCGCATCAACCTCCATCTCCCCTCCACCCCATCCGTCGACTACCTTTTCGACACGACTGTCATCAGCTGCGCTGCTCCCTCGCCGCGCTTCTTCCTCTCTTCTTTTTTTTCCTCCCTTCCTCTACACAGCACAAAGCCATCATGCAGGCCATCTCAAGACAGCTGCGGCCCTCGACGAGCCTGCTGCAACAAGCAGCTCGCCGTGCCTACAGCGTCTCTTCCGCCGGCCCCTACGCCCAGACCATTGACAACCTGCGCATCAACGGCGAGACCAAGGTTCTCTTCCAGGGTTTCACCGGAAAGCAGGGAACGTACGTCCCCCTTGGTTCGCGATGCGCCTCGCAGGACCCCTGGATTTTGAAGAGCTTGGCGCTGACCTGGATATCACTAGTTTCCACGCGCAGCAGGCGATCGACTACGGTACGAGGCATCACAAAAACAAGAGAGACTCCCATGACCGAACTGCATCTGACGTGTTGGACATACAGGCACCAAGGTCGTCGGTGGCACCAACCCCAAGAAGGCTGGCTCTGAGCATCTCGGCCTTCCCGTCTTTGGCAATGTGAGCGAGGCCGTCAAGGCCACCGGTGCCACTGCCACTGCCATCTTCGTCCCGTAAGCACTTGCAGCGCGTCTTCGATCTGAAGGAAACAAAGCTAATGCACATCACAGCCCCCCCGTCGCCGCCGCCGGTATCGAGGAGGCCATCGAGGCCGAGATCCCCCTCGTCGTCTGCATTACGGAGGGTATCCCCCAGCACGGTATGTTTTGCGCGTCTGCCCGACTTCGTGCCAACGCCTGCTGACCCTCCCTACTTCAGACATGGTCCGCATCACCAACATGCTCAAGACCCAGTCCAAGACCCGTCTCGTCGGCCCCCAACTGCCCCGGCATCATCGCCCCCGGCCAGTGCAAGATCGGCATCATGCCCGGCTTCATCCACAAGCGCGGTCGCATCGGTATCGTCTCCCGCTCCGGCACCCTCACCTACGAGGCCGTCAACCAGACCACCCAGGCCGGCCTCGGCCAGTCCCTCGTCGTCGGTATCGGCGGTGACCCCTTCAGCGGCACCAACTTCATCGACTGCCTGCAGACCTTCCTCAAGGACGAGGAGACGGACGGCATCATCATGATTGGCGAGATTGGCGGTTCCGCTGAGGAGGATGCTGCCGAGTTCCTCCGTGCCAACAACACCGTCAACGGTGGCAAGCCCGTCGTCAGCTTCATCGCTGGCATCTCCGCCCCCCCTGGCCGCCGCATGGGTCACGCCGGTGCCATCGTCTCCGGTGGTAAGGGTGGTGCCGACAGCAAGATCGCCGCCCTCGAGGCCGCCGGTGTCATCGTCGAGCGCTCCCCCGCCGGTCTCGGCAAGGCCCTGTACGACGAGTTTGTCCGCCGGGATCTCCTGTAAAGGGTTCCCGTCTATCCAGCGGAACATGTGTGAGTGAGTGGCAAGGCGAGGCGAAGGGAAGCATGTGTATGTATGATGTGGTGACCGGGGCACGCCTACGGAGCAGCCGTGCATTTTCTGCTATTCATCGAGGGTACGGTACTCATAGACTGGAACGGGAGGCGGCTTTGGAAGGCGAGGCTAGCAACGAGGCCGCGCCGTGCGGCTTCTGTTTTGTAATCTGGAATTCCATCTGTATTCTGCCTGCATCACCCGTTTTGAGAATAGATCTCAACCCAGTTTTTGTTTTGTGTCGTAACAGTCTGTGCTTCGTCGGCCTGCCTCTGCCGGCCACCGAGGCTTCTCGTTTGATTGCGTCCCCTGACGCACCCTCTCCCAACGCCTTCTCGAGACGGGGAAAACAAAAGAATTGATGGTGGAATATTCATTCCCCCCGACGCAATGCCAACATTTCAGTCATAACATTATAGAAACACACAAAACTCCAGCGGAATGCGTCCGTCCGTCCCTGCCCTCTTGTGAAATTCTCGCCCCCAGATCCGTGGTGGCTGCCCATCCTGCCTGATGATCCCACACAACCAAGCCCCTGACATCACTGCTCGCCGAGCAACCGAGCCGTAATGTCCCCCATGTACGCCTCTTCGAGCTCATAGTCGCGCCCATCATTCCGGTCAATGCCGACGTACTTGAACGCGTCGACGACGGCGTCGACCTGGAAGCCCATGCCGACGAACCGCTCGACGAGGTTGCGGTTGTAGCCGTCGTAGCGCGTCTCGTCGAGGGCGGCCTTGTCGGCGCCGGCCTCGGCCGTGTAGCGCGACATGTCGAGCTTGGGGTTCGCGGGCGCGCCGGCGTGGGCGACGGCCCACTCGTGGGCGCGCAGGGCGAAGGCCTCGGGCCGCTCGAGCATCATCTTGGCGACCTCGGCGTCCTGCGGGTCCTTGGGGTTCGGGAACTCGAGGAGCATGCGCAGCGAGAGGAGGGCTGTCTTGATCGTCTGCACGGGCGACCAGCCTGTGCCGAGCGTGTCGAGGCAGATGGCGCCCTGTTCGTTTTGTTCGTCAGCACTGCTTCTCGACTTGGAGGCACGGGAGGCGGGGTCAAGGCTGCGGGAAGGAGCGATGGGAAACACACGGTTTGGGAGCTGATGTTGGGATGCCAGATCTTCGTGTCGAACTTCATGATCGGGGACTTGAAGGGGTACATGTCGGGAATGACAATGTCGACGACGAAGCGGCCGCCGGCATAGGGCGAGTCGGGGGGGCCCGGCATCGTGCCCTTGAGATGGAGCAGGCTCGCTTCCGAGACGGGCTGCGCGAAGACGCCCGAGTTGTCCTTGTCGGCCTCCATGTCGGCCAGCTCCTTGATGATGCGGCGCTCGCGTGAGGATGACATGGTGGGCTGCTTTGGCTCGCGGCGAGTGCGGACTGCGTTGTGTTCGTTCAGAGTGCGAGGTCTGCCTGGTGGGGGGCAAGCATTTGCTGGGGAGGAGAAGCAGAGGGAAAACCAGCAGAGGGACGTCGTTGGGGGGTTGAGTAGGTTTGTATGTGAGATGGAGGGGTGTTCGATTTGCCCCGCGGAACTTTCGTGACGTCCAGCGTTAGCCGCTGGGGGGGGGGAAGACTTGACTGGAGACGGAAACTAGGGGATTCCTGGGCGGCTGGTCTCGTAGACGTCAGGCTCAGGGTCACGGGCTGCAGTGCATCTGCTGAGACACGCCGCGAAACACACAGCTTGGGATTGTTTACGGAGCTGGTTTTTGTTTTTCATCGGCTCGAGCATTCTACTTGAATCGTTGCATCAATCGCAGTTAGCCGACAATCCTGAGAAGCGAGGCAGCTCATAAGTATTGCTTGTTGGGCTAGCTACCTGCGTACCTAGCTAGGTATACACGTATCTGGGGTAGGTAAGCTAAGGTACCTAGGTAGGTAGGACGGACACTAGATACTTTGTAGGCACTGAAGCTTCCTTAGCGAGCAGATCGGCTTGAGCACATTGAATAAACACAGGCTGCCAGCAGTAAGTACGTCAACTACAATAATGCACCCGAAGCAGATTCCTGCATCCTGCTGAGATGTCCGGCATTTGTCACAAGTGCACGCCGGTAGCTACCGCCAATTCAAGCAGCTATCCAGGTGTCAATGAACCTCTCTTGGTTGAACGCCAGTAGTCAACCCCGGCTATGATGATGACTCAGCAGAGCGCTTCTGCACGTGATGAGCGTGGCCATCGAATTAGGCCCCAGCCCAGGCGTCGCGTTTCTCTGGCGCCTTGACGTCTGGACCTCGAAATGCCAACAGTCAGCCAGCCCCATAACGTCGCCCTTCCATCATCATCCACTGCTATCACCGCCATCACCACCATCGCAGGCGCACCGAGCTCGCCCGAACCAATCCATTGCGACACGTAGTCAACTGCCGCAACATCTGAAGACTGTTGGCGATTATTTGACACCCGATTCCAGAGCTTGCGAAGCTCCCCAGTAGCAACCATGGTACACACTTGCAAACGCCCTGCCAAACATCCAGAGGTGCAACCGAGCTGACTTGCCGTCTTTCCAGGGTCAGAACCAGTCCGGAATGGGCGGTGGAGGAGAAGGAAGAGACGAGAAAGATAAGAAGGTTTGCCCTCACCAAAGAAGTCCGTCTCGTTCGTCGCAGAACTGACGATCGCCACAGAAGGATAAGCCCAAGTACGAGCCGCCCCCTCGCCCGACCACCCGTGTCGGTCGCAAGAAGAGAAAGGCGGCTGGCACCAGCGCCGCCGCCAAGCTTCCTGCCATCTACCCGACGAGTCGATGCAAGCTTCGTCTCCTGCGAATGCAGCGAACCCACGATCACCTTATCCTCGAAGAAGAATATGTCGAGAACCAGGAGCGTCTGAGCAAGGCGAAGGTCGCAAAGGAGGGCAATGCGGCGCCCGGACCCGAGGGTACCGAAGACAGACTGGCTGACGAGCGTGGTCGTGTTGACGACATGCGAGGCAGCCCGATGGGTGTCGGTACGCTGGAGGAGATGATTGACGATGACCACGCCATTGTCAGCAGCACCACCGGGCCCGAGTACTACGTCAGTATCATGAGCTTTGTTGACAAGGACCTTCTCGAGCCCGGCACGAGCGTGCTGCTGCATCACAAGAGCGTCAGCATCGTCGGTGTCCTGACCGACGACACGGATCCCCTCGTCAGCGTCATGAAGCTTGACAAGGCCCCGACCGAGTCATACGCCGATATTGGTGGCCTGGAAACACAGATCCAGGAGGTCAGGGAGTCGGTCGAGCTGCCACTGCTGCATCCAGAACTGTACGAGGAGATGGGCATCAAGCCGCCCAAAGGTGTCATTCTCTATGGTGCTCCTGGTACAGGAAAGACGCTTCTGGCCAAGGCTGTTGCCAACCAGACATCTGCCACTTTCCTGCGCATCGTCGGCAGTGAGCTGATCCAGAAGTACCTCGGTGACGGCCCCCGTCTCGTGCGCCAACTGTTCCAGGTATGTCTGCCTTCTTCCCCAAGGGAGCCCCGCTAATGCGATACTAGGTTGCCGCCGAAAACGCCCCCTCGATTGTGTTCATTGACGAAATCGACGCCATCGGTACCAAGCGATACGACTCGACATCGGGTGGTGAGCGTGAAATTCAGCGAACCATGTTGGAGCTTCTCAACCAGCTCGACGGTTTCGACGATCGTGGCGACGTCAAGGTACTCATGGCGACGAACAAGATCGAGACTCTCGACCCAGCCCTCATCCGTCCCGGCCGTATTGACCGAAAGATTCTGTTTGAGAACCCCGACCAGAACACCAAGCGCAAGATCTTCACCCTGCACACCTCCAAGATGTCGCTCAATGACGATGTGGACCTCGAGGAGTTCATCTCGGCAAAGGACGACCTGTCGGGTGCCGACATCAAGGCCATCTGCTCCGAAGCTGGTCTGATGGCTCTGCGTGAGCGTCGCATGCGTGTGCAGATGGCCGACTTCCGTTCGGCTAGGGAGAGAGTGCTGCGGACCAAGCAGGAGAGCGAGCCTGAGGGCCTGTACCTGTAGTGTATGATTGTGTGTGTGCTCCAAGTTCGCAGAGCGTTCAGGGGGGACATAGAGGATGAGCGAATTCTAGAGATAATAAGCCAAAATGTTTTGGCACTCGCTTGTTTATTGCGTGAGGAAGTGTAAGCATGTGATTCATGCTCATGACTGTCAGTTGTCGATCCCCTCCGGCCGGAAAGGATGTTGACAGCATGCTCCACCTGAGGTACATCACCTTCGGACTCGATATGGATATCTGGACGTACCCATTCTACCTCGCAGTTGTCCTGCTCATCCACAAGAATCTCCCGGACTGCGTTTCTCCAGCCTTTTTGTATGCCGTTCTCAAGTAACCGTGCAAAGTCACTCCTATGACTATGGACCCGTTCCTCATGCCAGATCACGGAACTCTCGCCTCAAGGGCACCCCTGCTCCAGCTGTCTGACAGCGAACCTCACATGTCGCACCATGCGAAACAAGCCTGAAGAACAACAGCGAGGCCTCATTTCAACCCACTGCGCTGACGCCCTCGAGAGCGTCGACAACCGCCTCAAGTAAGTCCTTCACACGGTGACGGCCCTGCAGCGTGATATTCAACGCCAACCGGGTCCTAACGTCTATACGGCCGAAAAGGGATTGGCTTTCACTTTTGACCGGGCTTCGTCTATTCCTTACTACGACGTGTCGACCGAGCATCCCAGACATCCAGATGATATGCCTGGTATCCCTGGCCGAACCTACACGGCGATGCTCGAACTAGCCATGCTGGCGGGTGAGAACCAACCTCAGCTATTCTCGGCTGCTGCTGAACCAACTCCCGCTGGACGCTCGTCGGCAGAAATCAGGGGAGTTCAGGACAAAGACCAAGAAGATTTACGATAGGCTGAAGTCGGTATGTCTGACGTCGCCACCATCGCATCTACTGATCACTGTTCTGCAACTGATCACCAAACGCCACCTCCCTTGTGCTCGTGATCTTCTTTCACTGACGATGCATTATGACGGGCTTGGCAGGGATACGTGACGTCAAATATGGCCTAGCAAGCATTTATGCGAGCATAGCTCTCATCCTTGTTCGAACTGTGTACAGGACGGCGGAGCACTACGCCATGGAGGAGCTTGATGGTAAGCAGATCAGAGATTCAGCGGACATACCCGTCATGGTGCGATACGAGGTGTTCTGTTGTGTTTTTGGTGCCGCATTCACGCTGGTCCTCTTGGTTATCTGGAACGTTCTGCACACGAGGTGGTGCCTGCCTGTTGACAACAAGATGTACATTGCCCGCGATGGAGTGAGAAAAGTGAAGGGGCTTGGGTGGCAGGTCCGTCGGTCTAGGTCTGCGAGGGTGATGAATCCATCCGACCGGATGGGCATGTGTGGTCGTCGCCAGAGGGAAAAATGCGAGTTGGAGTGCATGTGAGGACCAAACTTGAGCTTGGAAGCATTACGACGAGCGGACTAACGGGCGTGGTCTGGCTTTTTCTGTCATGTTGCTGTTGTTGCTGTTGGAGACTTGCTCTCCTAAGATTGTGTACGTTCAGGCTCCTTCGCCGCAGCAGGGAGCAGTTTGGTATTCGAAATGGCAGCTATACAGACAGCAATTAGGAATGGCAATGGACAAGCAATGAGATGGCACGATATGCCTGTGGGAATATCTAAGAGGCTTCGGTGGGGCGACATTAGCGGTCCAGCCCTACAGATCCTCGACGACGCAAACGATCGTACGACAAGACACATGAGCATTTGATACAAGAGATGATCCAAACAACACATGAATACAGACGTTCATTCGAATATCTCCACGTGATCGACACCGTACCGTACAATGCAGTGTTCGCTCCACCGCTTCAGGAACAAAAGACACGCGGGTGCAGGGCGCTAGCCCAATGAGGATGTGGCTCACCCGCGCCTCGCCCGCTGACGTCGTCTCCATTCGCTGGTCACAACCTGGCGTCAGGCCTCCTACCTGCAAGCGTCGCAATCAAACCTACGTCCTTCCCAACGTCGCGCGAGCAGAGACACGATCCTCAATCCAACACGGCCGAACGACCAACGAAACAGCTCCTGCGCTCGACGCCGAGACCGAACAAAACACCTATCCTGATACTCGGACGACACATTGACCAGCATTCACCATGTCGTGGGCAGGTACGGCTGCTCCGAGCTTCCGAATGTACCCCTCATCGAGGGCGGCTGGGCATGGACTTGTTGTAGGCGCTGACACTGGTGGACGACAGGCTTCAAGAAGAATGTCAACCGCGCGACGACGCAGGTCATGATGAAGACGGGTTCGTCTTTCCATCTCTCCCAGCATCCGAATTATGCCCGTTTAACATTCGTCGACAGGCCATGTGGAGCGAACAAACGATCGTGATTACGAGGTCGAAGAGAGGTCAGGGGTTTCCGGCACCTCGTTTCTGTTGTACATAATGCTAATACCAGTCGCTACAGACGATTCAAGACCATGGAGGCTGCTGCCATGAGGCTACAGAAGGAGTCCAAAGGCTACCTCGACTCGCTACGAGGTAAAGCCTATCAACCCCAAACCACGCCAAGCATGTGCCGAACCGGGCTGACCCACTCGCAGCCATGACTGCTTCCCAGATGCGAATTGCCGAAACGATAGATGCCTTTTACGGAGACTCTGGCGCGAGAGACGGCGTCAGCAGGAGTTATAAGCAGGCCGTGGAGGATCTCGACGCCGAGACGATCAAGTCACTAGACGGCCCATACCAGTGCGTGTCTTCAGCACCCACCATCGAGAATCTACTGACAGAGCCCTGCCAGAACGACTGTCTTGCAACCTATTTCCCGATTCTGTGCTTACTTCCCCGACGTCAACGAATGTCAGTTGCTGCCGCATCCAGCATGTCTCTGCCCCGGCGCTCCCGTCTGCTGACACGTAACAACCTAGGCATCAAGAAGCGCGGCCACAAGCTGCTCGACTACGACTCGTTGCGCGCAAAGGTGAAGAAGCTCGCCGAGAAGCCGGACAAGGACGTGACCAAGCTGCCGCGCGCCGAGAAGGAGATGGAAATGGCCAAGGCGGCTTACGAGCAGCTCAACGAGCAGCTCTCGACCGAGCTGCCGCAGCTCATCGACCTCCGCGTCCCCTATCTCGACCCGAGCTTCGAGGCCCTCGTCAAGATTCAGCTGCGCTTCTGCGCTGAGGCTTACAGCCGCATGGCCCAGGTGCAGCAGTACCTCGGCGCCGACACGCGGGAGCAGTACGCGCAAGGCCACCTCGACGCAAGGGTCGAGCAGGTCCTGCAGGAGATTCGCGAGCTGAGCATCGGCGGGACGGTCTGAGTGTGGGCTCGTGGCCTACATGGACGATGGAGAAGAGGGTGTGCACAGTATGAGTTTCACGGCCGGCATGGGAAAGACAGGTTGAGAATGAGGAGACTTGGCGAGGTCGCTTCGGCCGAGGTTCGACCTTTGTTTTAAAGCTCCGCGGAGCGCTTAGGGCTTTTTTGTCTTTCAAGGCGTTCATAACTCATAGATGCCATTATTTCATTTCGTAGTCTACACTCTCCATGCGAGGTTTAGACGAGGCCCTGCATTTCTTGTGGGTATCATACACGTTTGGGTCCCAAGTTGTGAGCGTTCCACCCACAGCATCAGATGGTTTCTCCGGTTCTCCATCCCTTTGTGCCCCTTTTCTCTTTCCGTTTGGGGGAAGAAGCACCACGCCTGCCGGCAGCACGGCATATGGCTCATTCGCGCCGAAAAGACAAGCGCCGCGAACCCTCCTGCCCCGAGCTCGTCATTCGTTCCGCGATGCGCTGCGCGCTCTGCAACAGCAGCTCCTAACCGCTGAGGCCGTTGGGCGCGACGCCAAACAGAGCGCTGACGCTCAGCTTCCTGCCCGTGGGCTGGGCAGCGGCCGCGGGCGGCACGTACTCCTGCTCCTGCCCCTGCCCCTGGCCCTGGCCCTGCGCCTGCACGGCGTCGTCCTCGACATGGGCCTCGCCCGTCTGCACGAGGCGCAGCGTCTCCTGGACCATGACGGCGTTGGACATGCGCGTCTCGTCGTCCTCGGTGTGGATCCAGATGCCGACGACGGTCGTGTCGATGGCGGCGTCGGCGGCGTCGCCCTCGGGCTTGACGCCGGCGAGGACGTCTGTGCCCTCGTCGAGGCGGAAGATGTAGATGCCGTCCATGACCTCAAAGTGGCCGACGCTCGCGAGGTCGATGCTCACGTTGTTGAGGCCGCGGCGGTTGAGGACGAAGATGCAGGCGCGCGGCGGGGCTGCTGCTGCTGCGGCGGCGATCGAGGGGTCCTGCGCCGGTCCCGCGTCCGGGGCGAGGAAGCAGAGAAAATAGGTGCCCTCGATGCCGGCGCGCTCCCAGGACGAGGTGGCGGGCGCAAAGGTGTAGACGACGGCGTTGGCGGCGATGGAGAGGATCGAGTGGATGGCGGGGATGTGGCGGCGCAGGACGGCAAGGTTGAGGTCGGTGTTGGTGCGGTTGAGCAGGGCTGGATTCGGGGCTGGGGCGGCGGCGTTTTGGTCGAGGAGCGCGTGCGCCGGCGCGTCCGAGTCGTAGTCGGATGTGACGGGGTTCGCGTGACGGTGCGAGGCCGAGGAGTGACGGGCGTGACCGCCGCCGCGCTTGCCGCGGGGGGTTTGGTTGACCATGGTGTTGTTGGGCTGCCCGATGTTGGTGTGTGATGACGGTGTTGGCCTGTGGAGGAGTGTGGATGACTGTGACGAAGTACGCTCCTTAGGGGCTAGGAGTACAGAATGAACTGGAGGACCGTTCGAGGGAAGATTGGGTGGCTATGTGCAGTGAAGAGGTGCGTCGTGGTGGTTTCGCTACTCAATCGGCAGCAATAGGTGTGGTCGCTGAGGCATGTCACAGTGAGGCTCGCCTCGAAGTCGTGACGATTGGGTCGATGGTAGCTGATAAGAGCTCAACCTTATCGGCCTCCACCCCACCAAGCAAGCACTGAAGCACAGCACCAAGCAGCAGCCCAACGTGACAGGGTAGCACCAGAGCTGTAGAGCGATGGACAGGGCAGTACCTAGGTACAGGCACTGAGGTACCTCAGTCGCCTTACTTACCTACCTAGGTATCTACCTAGGCACGCATAGCAGGGTACCGCGAAGGCAAGCACATGCCTGCTGCGCCCCGCTGTCGTCACCTGCAATGGTCGCTGACGTTCCCCCCCCCATGTTCATCTACCTCTGGTACATCCCGCATTCAGCATTCGGCATCCAGATTCAGCATCCTTGATTGCTTCATCCTCTTCCCGACGCGCGCATTTGCCTGCCCTGTGCGAGCTGATCGTGCAGCCTTGTCGTAGTCTGACGATTTTCACAACTCGCATATACCATGATCTTGTGTCTTTCTGAGGCCTGCTTCACCTGCACTCTACTTCCCTGACTTGACAAGTCTTCCTGCCTCTTCGCACGCGACAACATGCGCCTGGCGCAGCCTTGTGCACACCCCTCGACGAGTCCCTCCGGACCTTGATTTCCGACCTGCGATATACCTCATCTCCAACATATTGCATCATGGCTTCCCACGATCCAGACCAGTCCTTCGATTCTGCCACCTCCGAGCCCATCGACCTGACCTCCACCCCGCACTCTCTCGCTCGCGCCGTCTATGCACGCCGCGCCGAATATGTACGACCACATCGCATACGGGTCAAGATTGGCTCGTGGAACGTCGCAGCGTGTCCCGGCGCCGACAAGGACCTTGCTAGCTGGTTCGTCCAAGGCAAAGGCGTTGACAAGTGCTTTGCCACCGTCGACCTGGCTCATAACCCCGCGGTCGAAGAAACAGACGCGAGCAACCCGGGCATCTCTTCCGAAGACCACAACGAAGTCCGCCTGGTTGGCGGCGAAAAGATTGGTCTCTACGTGCTCGGCCTCCAGGAGATTGTCGACCTCAATATGGCGCGGGACGCCGTCACGCGCATGTACTCCGACCCCGAACCCATGGCCAAGTGGAAGGAAGCGCTCGAGGAGGCCATGCCGCCCGGCTACGAGCTCGTCACGGCCGAGCAAATGTCTGGCCTCTTGCTCCTCGTCTACGCCTCGCCCGAAGTTGCCGCCACGGTCGGCAACGTCAGCACCGTACAGGTCGGCACCGGCCTGTTTGGCTATCTCGGCAACAAGGGCGCCGTCACGACGCGCATCCTGCTCGGCGAGACAACGCGCATGGTCTTTGTCAACTCTCACCTCGCTAGTGGCGCCGAGCAGACGTACCTGGAACGTCGTCTGTGGGACTACAACCAGATCCTCACGCGCACCCAATTTGATTTGGTGCAGCTGGCTGGTTCCACGAATTCCACGCCGGAAAAGATTGGTGACGAGGACTTTGCCTTTTGGCTGGGCGACCTAAACTTCAGGCTCGAGGGCCTGCCGGGCGATGACATTCGCCGGTTGCTGATGCTGCACACGCGAGGCGAATACGACTTGTCGAAGAAGAAGAAATACTTCGACGGCGAGGAAATGTTCGTCGTCAAAAATGTCGACGACAGCAGTGATGACGAGTCGACGACGGCGTCGACCGTGTCCCCGAGGAAGCCCGATTTTGACGAGTCGAACACTACATTACCAGATCCCGACGACTTCTTGCCCGACCCACACGACGGCCCTGCTTCGCTCCAGGCTACCTTAGACTCGCTGCTGCCCCATGATCAGCTGGGTCGAGTGATCAGGGAGAAAAAGGCATTCCACGAGGGCTGGCGTGAAGGGCCTGTCACCTTTTTGCCCTCGTACAAATACGACGTCGGCACCGTCAGTCTATTCGACTCGAGTGAAAAGCAACGGGCTCCAAGCTGGTGCGATCGCATCCTCTACCGCACGAGAAAGGACAAGTTGGAGTACGAAAAGAAAGTGCAGGAGGCCGAGGAAGCGAAGAAAAAGGACGAGCAGATGAAGGCACAGGGTCTGGAGGATGCTGCTAATGACGACGATGTGCTATTCAGCTACGACCCGGAGACGGATGCCGATGCCGAGGAACAGCCCAAGGGGGCTTCCGATGCATCCTACGACGAGTATGACGAGTATGACGACAACGAAGAGAACACGACTGAAGAAGTGGTAACGAAGGAGGGCTTTACTGATCGGATACACCTCGATATTTACACATCACACCAGCGTATCACATCATCAGATCACAAACCTATCATATCTATCTTCACCTTGGACTACGACGCCGTCGTGCCGGAACTGAAAGCCAAGGTTCACGCCGAAGTCGCCAAGGAGCTGGACCGCGCCGAGAACGAAGGCCGGCCGCTCATCACTGTTGTTGTCGACACGCAGGATGGCACAGGCAAAGAGGCGTCTGGACGACCAGCGGATCAAGGCGATCCCGTCGATTTTGGTGACATCAGCTACCTGCGAAAGCACACGACGCGCTTGACGATTGCCAACACTGGCCGCGTGCCAGCCAAATTCGCCTTTGTCGAGAGGCCATCGGAAGACGCCGCCACCAACAGCCCACCGCACTGGTTGAAGACACGCTTCAGTCGCAGCGGTTCCGATGACGATGACGAGGAGGCCGAGAAGCTGGGGGATGATGTCACGCTTGAGCCGGGCGAGACCCTGGGTGCCGTGCTCGAAGTCTTGATCGACGACATTTCACGTGTTCGGGCTCTCAACGGCGACCGGGTGAAGTTGGAGGATATCCTTGTTCTGCGCGTCGAAGACGGGCGAGATCACTTCATCCCGGTCCGAGCGACATGGCTGCCGTCATGTTTCGGCCGATCGATCGAGGAGCTTATCAGGATCCCCGACGGCGGGATTAGAACGTTCGCCAAGTCGAGGTTACCAAAGACCGGCTCGATACCGTATGATCTCGACGTCCACTCAGCAGCACCCAAAGAACTCTTCAAGCTTACAGAGGTGATTGAAACGCTTACTACAAGGGTTCTCGCCGACGCCAACATGCTCGATCAGCAAGTCATTCCAGCCGACAGGCCTGGCTGGCCGTTTGAGAAAGCCACATGGCTATTTAAAGATCAGGCAGCTCGCGATAAGCAGGTTCTCGCCCTCGTTGAGGCTCTCGATAACGACACACCTCTTTCTGATGCCCTCCCGCTCGACAGCCCAGCGCCGCACCGCCTAGAAGTCGCCGCTGAGGTCCTCGTTCTCTACCTACAGGGCCTAACCGACGGGATCATCACTGCGCCGTTATGGGCCAAGATCGAAGTCGCGCTTCCCCAGCTCGGCTCCACGTCATCACCAATCCGCACGGCGGAGGAAGCAGAAGACGACAAGGCCGCAATCCTCGACATCCTCGCCTCCGCGCCGAACCACAATATCGCCTTCGTCTTCCTTACAGCAATGCTCTCGAAAACAGCCGCCGAACTGACGCCTATTGCCAAGGCCGAGCTTGAGACCCTAACCTCGACTGCCAGCAAGCGCCTCAGTGTCATCGGCCGCCGCAGCCTCAGCTTCCGCCGCATGACGGGCGGTGGCAGCAACACGGCGGCAGCCGAGGCGGCGCTCGCGCGACGAAGGGCCAAGGAGAAGAAGTTCGCCGAGGTCATGGGCCGGTCTGTCAGTCGCGTCACGCTGCCGGCCAAGGACAAGGAGAGAAAGGTTGTCGAGGAGAAGCTGAGGGGCGCTGTGGAACTTTTCGTCCGGAGGAGCTTGCAGGACTTATGAGGGGATTTGTGTTTTGTAGGTTTTTGTGTTGCCTGGAGTGTTGGGTATATGTGGTTGGCGCTTGGTGGGTATGATATGACGGGGTATTGGGGTTCGAGCGTTGTGCTTGGTACATGTTTTTTGCTACTGTTACCTGCACTGCGAGCATTAGGTCCTTGCATAATCAAGTGCTTTGCATCCTAGACAGTCTCTCGAGAAATATGCCCTTTCATGATTATTCCAGTTAGACTTCCTTGGAGCCATCCACATCTTCTAGTGACGACGACGCAGACCCTGTCGTTGCAGGCTCGATTCTCAACATGCTAGATCTCCAGCATACCACGAGGGACATCAATCTCACAAGGACCTGACGTCGTGTCGTCTTGTCAACAGTCCAATTATTGTTCTCGGGGCTTTTCAAGACTGAATCACCTCTAACTTGCTTGATCCTCTATATCGCACAGAGCTGGGCAACACTTGACACAGCTGAGGCCATTGGGATCATCGCCACGATTGCCAACGCTGCGGGTTCTTTGCATCCCTTTCATCCGGAGGTAACTCTGACTCCTTAGCCATACTCAATTTAGCAGTGTGTACCCTTGCCAGTCAACCCCTCACCTTCCCTCATGTTGTTTCTCACATCCGGTGAAGCCGCGGGGTGCGCGGCAGCAAGGCCGTCACTTGAACGGTCATATAGCAGCACCAACATTTCAAATAATAGAAGGGAAGGGCGGTTTGTACAGGGCCCCAAAGGTACGACCTGTCCCGAAAGGCGACATGGTCAGGGGACGCCTGTCATGGTTCCTTTCCCCCATGTGCCGGCAGACCTCAGTTCGGCCGAAATTCACAACTGCGACCTCGCCCGCTGCCGAAGTCCCGTTTACCCACCACGATTTGCGGTTCCAGGCCCTGGACCTTGCGGTGCCTGTTTCAGGATCGCTGCCCAGGAGACCCAGGGCCAGAGAAGAATAAGAACCCACCCCCGCGGAAAGACAGTTCGGCATGCAAAGAAGGTTGCGTATTTAGGCGGTTTGCCTAATTTGCGACGATCATGCTTGCTTGTGTCGACCCCCCCCCCCAACCCCTGTCTCTTCAACTGACGTCGTTTGACGTGTCAGTAAGACTGGAATTCTAACCTTTCTCTTCCGTGTCTACGTGCTCCGTGCTTCCTGTGTCCTGCGCCGGATAGATTGCGGGGTGCTCAAGTGCAACCTGGACGGCGCCATCGTGAGGCTCTCACGGGGTTGGACCTCATGAGCAGGCCTCAAAAGGGGCTCGCGGCCAGAATGAGCCCGGGTCTTGCGAGATTGGTGTTTTCATATTAGCCGGTCGATCAATTGAGAATGTTCAATATAAGTAGGATCAATGGCTTTTAGAGTGTCAGTTGGCGTCGGCTCTTGATACATCAGCCATAGTACAGCCCAAGGTCCCATCACACCTTTCTAGAGTCACTTTCAACATGAAATTCTCGCAGATTCATCTCGCCCTCCTCCTGGCCCCTTTGGCCGCGGTAGCTAGTCCCGTTCCCGAAGCTGCCTCGCATGTAGAGTCGCGCCAGGCCGCGGCCAGCATCGACAAGCTCTTCAAAGCCAAGGGAAAGCTGTACATCGGCGTCGCCACCGATCGCGGCCTGCTGCAGACGGGGAAGAATGCCGCCATCATTCAGCAGGACTTCGGCCAAGTCACGCCCGAGAACTCAATGAAGTGGGATGCCCTCGAGCCGAGCCGTGGCTCGTTCAACTTTGCGGGCGCCGACTTTCTCGTCGACTGGGCGCAGACGAACAGCAAATCGATTCGCGGCCATACCCTCGTCTGGCACTCTCAGCTGCCTCAGTGGGTGAAGGATATCAAGGACCGCGATGACCTGACCAATGTCATTGAGAACCACGTTAAGACCATCGTCACGAGATATAAGGGCAAGATTCGCGCCTGGGTATGATTGACTTGCTTGTTGATGGTGCGTCAAGCTTTGCACTTTTCTGATCTGCTGTCAGGATGTCGTCAACGAAATCTTTAACGAGGATGGTACCATGCGCTCTTCCGTCTTCTCTGATATTCTTGGCGAGGACTTTGTCGGCATTGCGTTCCGTGCGGCTCGTGCCGCGGACCCAAATGCCAAGCTCTACATCAACGACTATAACCTCGACCGCGCCAACTATGGAAAGGTGAACGGACTCGTCAGCAAGGTCAACAAGTGGATCACTGCAGGCGTTCCAATTGACGGTATCGGTATGTAGACCTGTTCCATGAAGGCCACGTACCTTATGCTGACATTGCACCACAGGCTCCCAAACGCACCTTGATGCCGGTGCGGCAGGCAACATCAAGGGCGTGCTTCAGCAGCTGGCTTCCGCACAGGTCTCCGAGGTGGCCATTACCGAGCTGGACATCAAGACCGCGCCGGCGGCTGACTTTGCCACGATTGTGGGTGCTTGCCTTGATGTTCCCAAGTGCAAGGGCATCACCGTCTGGGGTGTGAGCGACAAGGTAAGCTTCTGTTGCTTGAGACGAGTTTGCATCGGAGCTGATAGTATGCAGGACTCGTGGAGGCAGGGTACCAACCCCCTGCTCTTTGATGCCGATTACAACCCAAAGGCAGCTTATACGGCTATCGTCACGAAGCTGAGCTGATGTTTCAGTCCTGTTGCCTCTGCGCATGGGATCTTCGAGTCCCATGGGGATGCTTGCCTTGAAGGATAGCCGACACTACTTGAACATACTTATACTAACTGTACATACTTGTGGTTTCATTGTCTCTGACCAAAGGTCTACCTGCAAGAATTGGGCATCTGGATGCCTTTCCTGTCAGATCTCATTTGGTGCGCACGTGTCACTCAAACTGTTCACTGGTGACAACATATCCATCTGAACCCTTGCAACCCCCGTAAAAGTCTGTCACAAGTCTCAACAGCGCTGCTGGACGGGCCCAACGCCTGGGACTGATTACGTGACAGGATATTTAATGACACGTAACCATCCTGTCTGAGTTCTTACCCCCGTCGGCTCCCGTGTTAATGTATGCAGGTTGAATATTTGCAACTCTCCCTGCTTGAGGCTTGTAGATCGATTTGTCAGCGCGTGGTTTAGAGCAGAGTGAAGAGGTCTTCCACAGGGTCCGCAGGCAGTTAGAATATAGGTATGGGGTCGGAATACATGTGAATTCTGGCCCTCCGCAGCCTATGTTTACTCGCCCTCTCGTGGCCCTTGGCCCCTGGTCGATCACCTGCTTGGCGGCTCCTGGCGGCTCCGCAGGGTCGACTGACACTATCACTGACGTAGCCGGACCAGGCGGATATAGCAGATCGTTTCTGATCCCTTTGATGATAGAAAGCCACTACAACAACTCGGGGTGGAATACGTTCAGCGAAGTCCACGTGTCAATTGATCACACTTCAAATATTTTAACCATTTTCAAACAGAGCAAATATAATCCATAGATGAACGTCCCAGAATTAGGTCCCAAAATATTCGACATTGTGAATTCCAGACGTCTTAAAGGGGCTTCTGCGCCAAGACGGAGACAGGCCTCCAGTTATACACAAGACCCTTGTTGTATTCGTGAATGAGCCGACCTAGAGCAGTTTCACACGAGGAAATCAACGTCACCAAGCTTCCATCATCCGATCTCTTGATACCTTCAAAAATCTCTGTGAGAGCCATCAAGTAGGTGTTGGTGCACAGCTGTGTCATGCTCGGAGAGAAAACATTGGTTTTCTCGTCTCGCAGCAGAAACGCCTCCTGCTCAAGCGACCTTGGGATTTTACGCACCCAGCTGATTGTTCTCGTCAGATGAGGGTTCCCAGATAATAGAAGTCTTTCCTGAGCTTACCTGTAATCGATACCTGCTTTGTTGAACAGATCCTTTGCCACAACCTCTAGTTCTTGAGCAGGTTGAGACTGCAGATGTTGGTCTACTAGATCGGCATCTTCCCACTGAACAAAGCCGCCCGGTTCTACAGTCATGTTAGCCATTGTTTTTATTTGCCTACGGATGAAATCTCTCCGTCGTACTCAGCATTGCTTTCAAGTTTTTAATGAGAATACTGGCTTCCCTGCTCCTCAGGTTACTCGCCCACATTCTGACGTGGATCACATCATAGTAGCCAAGGAGTCTCGAAGGTGGGTCTTCCAGCGCATTCAGAATCCCGAGGTCGAGATTCTCCGGCCATAGAGCCTGAGGCGGGAATTGATTGGCTGATATGTCGTATCCATGGAGTTGAGTGTCAAGAGGAAGACTTTGCGCCAGGTCGAGAAGCCAAATCCTATTACGTTATTAACCCCGAGGTGTTTCGAATCAAAATTTCTCAGAAGTCCTACGCTGTTCCAGTGCCGACCTCAGCAATCCTGAGAGGCTCAGACCTCTTGATCGAAGGATGAAGGACATAATCGAGATGAAGCTTCCATAGCAAGTGCTGAGCGTCCAGTCTACGTCAGTCGTTAGCGTGTCCTCACATGGCCCTCAGAGACATGTATACTATGAACCTGATTGACTCTCGAATCCCGCGACCTAAAACGTAGTCATCGGTTTCATTGTTGATGCTTCCCATGATGAAAGAGTGATGTTTTCACGTTTGAATGTTGAAGAGCAAGGCCTGAGTACTTCCGATAACGTAGGTCTTCCGAATTGGTCCAGCCAAGATGATATAGACTTCATCTCCCTAAGCTAATGATGGACTGAATCTGCCAAACACATTTTTTGACCTTCAGTTACATCATCTGACGAGATCTTGAAGATGGAATCGGGCCTTTGTCGGGAATTTCTGTCGGAGATGATTCAACTACACTGCCGAAACCAAGCTGGTGAAGCTTTAGAGAAAACGGCAAAACCTGCTCTGAATATTCGCGCGCTATAGCAAGCTTTCACGACATGAGACACAATGACCTGTTGTTCAATGATCGCCAAGACTTGCCCCTCGATGACCACAATGTGTAGATCATGGCTCGAGATAAGAGATTCCATTCCTAAGCGAGACTGGCTTGGCAGTCCGTTCCTCTCGCACTGTCCATTCCAGTATCAACGTCTGGACCAAAGCCAAAAAGTTTGTCCACTAGGCTTCATTCCTTTCCGAGACATACGGGGCGGCCCGTCCCCAAGCTTGGATACGACGGATTGTCAATTACGTGGGCAGCTTATACGGCATACCCTGAGCTTCATGGATGGGCGTGCTGTAAGCATGTCCAAAAGTATATTAACAAGGCCGAAGCTGATAACTTGGGGCCTGGGGAGACCGGCATGACCTACAAGAACCATCCATTCAGACAAAATCTCACACCTATTATCAATGCCTTCCCAGCAATCTTTCACGTTCTCGCCCGGCACGGGGACTCCTATCGACAGAATCGCATCTCTTCTCTCTATTCTCGATGCTGAACCATACTACGCCTATGAGCGACAAGGCCACTGGCACGTAGGCATTGGCAGTCTCGCGTCCTTGGCTATCGAGTCGGATGGACAACACGCCACAATTTCTACGCTCAATGGAAGCGAATCCCTAGCTATTGAGTCTAGCCTCGCCGACGTAGCACGAAACTTCCTCCGCACTCACCCAGCTGCGGGAAAGGTTTTCGGCTTTGCAGGCTTCAACTATGCACCCCACATCAAAGGCCTCACGTACCACGCAGGGCGATGGCCTCTCCTTACTCTGATGATTCCCCAGATTGAGCTGAACATAAATTCTGGGGGGGTCACCATCTCAGGGGACGGAGGAAACCCAGGGTCGATACATCGAATCTGTGCTGGAAGGGAGGCGAGACACCACGCGGATCCCCTTCACATGCCCGACTGCAGACTGATCAACATCGAAAGGTGTACATGCAATCGGTGGAGGACGGTCTGTCTCAGATTAGAGAGGGTCGCTTGGCCAAAGTCATCCTCTCTAGGGCAGTTGATCTTCCGGGCCCCATCAACATGCCTCAGACGCTCCTCACAGGGCGAAAGTCAAATACTCCGAGGACAACCTTTTGTCTTTCTCATGGCGGTTTCCAGGCCACCGGATTCAGTCCCGAATTGGTCATGTCTCTGGAGAACGGCCGCGTCACCACAGAACCGCTGGCTGGTACCCGTTCATGTGGTTCCAGCGACGCTGAGCGTCTGAAACTGCGACAAGAACTTCTCAATGATTCCAAGGAGATTGTGGAACACGTTCTGTCCGTCAAAGCCGCGGTCGAGGAACTTGAGCAGATTTGCTCGAACGATACCGTCGTTGTCGACGATTTCATGTCGATCAGGGAACGCGGCAAGGTGCAGCATCTTGGGTCCAGGGTGTGCGGACAGTTGAACGAGGCGAAGGATGCCTGGGACGCGTTCGATGTTCTTTTCCCATCGATCACTGCGTCTGGGATTCCAAAGCAGCCTGCCCTTGAGGTCATCACCTCCCTTGAGACACGGCCTCGTGAACTGTACTCTGGCAGCGTCATCATGCTTGAAGGATCGGACTTTTTTGAGGGAGCCCTGGTACTCAGATCGGTCTATCAAGATGAGGAGAAGGCATGGGTGCAGGCAGGCGCAGGAATCATCGATCAGTCTGAGCCTGCGCGCGAGTTTACTGAGACAGTTGAGAAGCTTAGCACCATCGCGCCATTTGTGGTGCCTCTTTGAGTAGTTGGCATCCTGCGTCCTTGGGCGGAACAAGCCAGCAGCGTTGTTTCTGTATCATCCGTTCCCCAATACATTCCTTTTCGTGCTTACACATCACGATCCGTGGCTTGTTGGTGCATGCTGTCTAGCGATACCTCCATTCGATCAACACTGAACGCAAACACAATTCGAGGCTTCCGCTAAAAACTGAAGGTCTAGTTTGGGCGAATAAGAGCTATGAAAATTACGGTATAATCAACCCAGTACTTCTGCTTCACAACAACTGGTCGGTTAGCTCAGTTGGTTAGAGCGTGGTACTAATAATGCCAAGGTCATGAGTTCGACCCTCATACTGACCAGCGATTATTTTTGTTGTTTCAACTTTGTCCCTTTTTTTGCCATTGCTCCCTGTCAGACACATTTGAACTCTTCCCCTGAAGCCATGTACAAATAACGACCCAAAACGCAAATCATTCACCATAGGACAAGTCCCTTTTTAGACTCTAAGCAGTGCCCACTCTCTCATCATGTCATGCACCTAATCCTGATCACCAGGAACACCAAACTACAAATACATCAGGAAAGTGTCTAGACCCCTAATAGGCAGCTGCCACCTCACCTCCGGTCCTCACAGTCCACATCTCTACCTCATCAGCCTGCCAGAGCACCGTGAATAAATGTCGCGCAAACTCATCGACATCGGCAGCCGCGATCCCAACCTCAGGCAAGTCATGGCCTCGCAAGCAGTGCAGGAATAGCGGACACGTCCCCAGAACCGTAGCCTCCCACCTCACCGCGCCGGCGGCGTCCCATAGACCGGCCCGCTGCGTGATGTATACGTCGCCCCGGCAGGCGTGACTGTACGGCGGCCCCGAGGAGCGAAGATTGAGGTAGACGCCCGCCGTAATGTGGGCGATGAGGTATGTGCGGCGGACGGACTCCGTGAGGATAAATGCGCGGTAAAGGCCCGTAATGGGGTCAGCGGCCGGGTCGCCGAGCGGCACGAGGGAGGAGGTGGCGGCGTCGAGGTTCGCCGAGTCCCAGAGCTGGCGGGTCCAGCGGAGCAGGGTGTCAAGGTGGGACTCTGCCTCGGCGCGACGCCTGATGGAGGACGAGAAGAGGCCGAGGAGGACGTGAATTAGGAGGGCCTGGGTGCGGGCGAGGTGCGCCGCCGTTGAGAGATTAGGGACGACGACGTGGCGGTCATCCGCATACCGGGCGAGAAGGGCGGAGAGGTAGGCGGAGGAGATAGGGCTAACGATACACTCGTTATCTGGCGTCGCGCTTTGGGAGAGGGCGATGGTGGCTATGGCGTCGCGCATGTCTTGCGGCAAATGAGTCTCGGTGTAAAGACGGCGGTGTATCAGAGGGCTATGGCCTTGCCTCAGGTAGCGGACAAGCCAGGCTTGCAGGCCGCGGACAAAGTCGTTCAAGACGGAGGCCTGGTGGAGCGTAGGAAGGAGCGTGAGTTGCTGGTCCAGGACCCATGCTGAAGGTGGGAGAAACCAGGTCATAGTCTGATAGGACAGCATGAGGTCGCTCACAATAGACCTCTTTGGCCTAGGTGCCGACGAAGAAAGCAACTCATCGGAGTACCTGGCTTCGAGGGGGGTGTCGGGGAATTGGCCCTCTGATCCGGCATACCTCGTCCGCGAGCCTTGCTCATCATCTTCTGCGTCAACACGGGGCAGTCTCGGGCTGTCGTCACTCCCATGTCCCCGAGAAGCAGAAAAGGTTGGCCCACCGCTTGGCAGACGATGACCGTCAGACTCAGACGGTAGTTGATAGCGCCGTCGTTTTGGTGGAGGGTATACACAGTCGACATCTCTGTTGAGACACCTCAGGCATGAGGGGAGGGTCTTGTCACAGCGGCGCTTGGCATCAGTACAAGCACGACATGCTCGCTGCCTGGATATCTCGTCATCCATTATTGGAGCAGGGGCTGCAATAGCAAATGCCGCAAATCTGTGTTAAGCATAAGAATGGCTTGAAGGTTGTCTTCTAGGTGTTGAAGCAGATGATAGCGCATAATCCATTGTCTTCTGGCAAGAAAGGGGGTTTCGCAGTGCAACCATGTAACGTGAGTCGCTCGTTTGTAGCGGTGAAGTACCAATGCAACTGTAGCTGGTCGAATCTGGGTGAAGTTGCAGTGGTATCTGTTATCGGGCAACCTGCGGGCAACTTGCGGACAACCTGCGGATACCATGCGGATGTATCACAAATCACTCCCGGGACCAGCGGAGTTGGGTTAGCGGAGCGACGAGTCCATCGGTCCGGCCCCAACGAACATTATGTGATGTGCACAGCAAAAAATCACGTCAAGGAGCCTTGTTGCGTGGTTTCTGGTAACAAGCGCAAGCAAGATGAAAGACAAGAAGTATGTCAGTAGTTATAAAAGGCCTTCGCGCCGAGTCAAGTCTAATATTGCGCCTCTCGTGGTCAAAAGACTCTCGAGCACTCCCCAACGAGACAGACGGACTGCCCGCACTTGCACACTGCCGACCTCTCCCATACAACGCCCATCATGTCGAGATCAAAAGTGTCTGCGGAGGATATCAGCGACAAAGTCGTCTTTAGTGCCCCTGTAGGGGTTAAGACTATCCATAAAACCACCTATCCTACCATTTCCGTTACTCGGCCTGAGCTGAGCCAGGCCGGCAAGACTATCCTCGTCACCGGCGGCTCTGCTGGCATCGGCCAAGGCATTGTCAGGTCATACGCCGAAGCCTCTGCTTCGCGGATCATCGTCACCGGCCCGCCGCCGTGGCACTCTCGAAAAGTCCACTTCTGAGCTGGCTGCGAGTTCCCTAAGACAGGATTTCCATGGCTCGTGTGAGCCACGTCAGCAGTCTCGAAGACACGGCTGCTCTGTGGGCTGGGCTCGCGGGTCAGCACATCACCGTTGACGTCCTGGGATATGAAAGCCGCTGCGCAGAGCGGCCCCGGCGCTCTCATCTCGTTCAGTCTCGACACGGTTTGGGCCGACTATGTCACCAACGTGCGCTCGCAGCTCGACTTTGTCCAACGATTCCGCGCCCAAAAGGGTTTCGAGGACAAGAAGAAGGTAGGACCCCGTGTTTTTCGTTTGTCATTCCGCATTCCTTCGTCTTGTCAGGCTCACCGGATCATGCATCGCTGACTGTGTTTGCTTGATATAAACAGTACCTCGTGTTCATCACTACGGCCGTCATCCACACCCCGGGCATAGACAAAGTGATGCCCTCCTACTACCTGACAAAACAGGCGAGCCATTCCCTGGTCCAGACGCTCGCCGACGCAAGTGATCCTAAATTACTTCAAATCAACCTGGTACACCCCGGCCTCATCTACTCCGAGGCTGCTGCCAAGGCTGGCATAGCGCCTGATAGTCTTCCTTTTGACGACAGTAAGTCACACATGCTCTTGAAGACCTCCGGGACACCTCTTGCGTGTTTGCTCGTCTTTCAAAAAACCTTGGTCGACTGACGCATTCTGATCGACATAGTGAAGCTGCCGGCCGACTACAGCGTGTGGGCGGCTACGGAGGAGGCGACGTTCCTGCATGGCAAGCTCGCCTGGGCCGCCTGGGATGTGGATGAACTTCGCTCGGAAGAGTCGAAGAAGGTGTTTGAGAGCAACCCTCATCATCTCAGCATCCGCCTGATTGGTGTATAGACGGTTGACGTGGCATTGCGTGAGAGGACCACTGGCGATACTGGCTAGACTTTGGTGGGGTTGGATATTGCAGTCAAATACACTGCTGCAAATCCGGACACATAAAATATAGAGGAATTCCAAATTCATGCGCAGGTGAGCTCTAATGAGGCAACAAAAGGCCGGAGGATGCGTGTAGTTGATGTCGTTGAGTTGGGGTTGAAGAGGGCAAGCACTGAGCCCAGTGGGCGCTGGCGGAACAGTCAGCAGCATGCTGTAACCGGGGCGCATTACCCCTATAACAAGCGACAAACAGCTTGATCAGTCACTAAATGCGCTATACCCCTATCTGGTTTATCGCTCTTTACGACCATTTTCTGGCAGGACCTTAGTTAGCTTCGTCATTATGACTTTTGCAGCCGCTCTTCTCGTAGCAACTGCTTCGCTGCTTTTGCGCCAGGAAACACCATTCAGCAACCACCTCGCTGTCCGCTCGACCATGTATTCTCCTTGAGCTCGCAATTGGCATAGCATCGCCGTTATCATGTCTAGCCTTTTGACAATCCCCATTTGCCGGGCTGGTCGTCCCTGGTCAAGGCCTCCGCAGCTCGCATCTCGACGACCATGGACGACGACTTCGCCATGGCGACTGTATTCGACCACCTCAACTGTCCCGCCCTCCTCACGCGCCTCCGATATTCGCGATGTCTCCTCGCTTCCCAATCGCATCACGCCTAACTATCGCGAACCGCGAACCTCGAACTCTGGGCTTCTCTCCCTTCACTGGCCACAGCCTCCTCGCAATATCCTCCTCATGCCTAAGCTGCGCTCGCCTCAAGTCCTCCGAGCGACAGTCGACTTTGCGAAACACCTGAAGAGCACATACTCTGGCCTCAATCTCATCTTCGAACCTCGCGTCGCCCAGATGGTGCACGACCAGCTCGACTTTCCCATCCACACATGCGACCCCTCGCAGTTCCCCGACAAGATTGACATGATCACGACCCTCGGCGGTGACGGCACCATCCTGCGTGCTGCCAGCCACTTCAGCGTCTACTCCTCTGTGCCGCCCATCTTGGCTTTCAACTTTGGCACCATTGGCTTCCTGGCCGAGTGGAAGTTCGAAGAGTACAAGCGCGCCTGGAGAGAAGCCTACATGTCTGGCAGCAGGGTACCACACCAAGACCTCTTGACCCCGCACACGAGGGTCGCTACGGGGGAAAAAACACACGAAGCCGAAACGAATGTAGCCTCTGGCTGGCAAGATGCCCCGGGCAAGAGCATGGGGCCGAGCCGAGCGTCCAAGATTCTGCTTCGGCATAGGTTGCGCGTCGGAGTCTACGACCCCAACGGCCAGAACATTAACAGCCAGCTGCACCCGACGACCAAGTCGCAGTCTCATCTTCCCGCAGTGCCGCCCGAAGATACAAAACTGGCGCACAAAGACTCGCCCCCGCAGATTCATGCCCTCAATGAGATCCTCATCCATCGAGGGCCGAAGCCCCATCTTGCCATCATCGACATCTATCTAAACAACCGGTTCCTGACCGAAGCTGTGGCCGACGGCATCCTGCTGAGTACGCCTACCGGATCGACGGCATACAGCCTGAGTGCTGGTGGCTCAATCATTCACCCGCTCGTCAAATCCCTCCTCATCACGCCAATCTGCCCGAGAAGTCTGAGCTTCCGACCGCTGGTCCTACCCCTCAACACGCAGGTCACTCTCAAAGTTAGCAGCAAGAACCGCGACGGCGAGCTCGAGGTCAGCATCGACGGCAAGAGAAGTGCCGGCGTGCGCATTGGCACCGAAATCCGCGTCGAAGGCGAGGCTGTCGGCGTAACCAACGATGGCAGCTGGAAGGGCGGCGTGCCGTGCGTCATTTGCGGCCCCGGCAAAGGGGACTCCGCCGAGTTCGACGACGATGGCTGGGTCGGAGGACTCAATGGCCTCTTAATGTTCAATCATCCCATTGGAAGGGGGTGAAACTTAATTCAATGATACCCGTTCCACGTCCTTTGTAGGTACTGGAGCCCACTATTCCACTCACATTTATCTCTCTCGGGCGTCACCTAGCACACATGAGATCCAAGTATTATGGCCCATCTAAAACTTGCGCACGTTCTCGGCGAGAGGATAGCATGGCGACTGTGTGCAGTATTATCTCGAGGGCGAGTGTTTATTCGATCGTGAAAGGCTCTGATGAGTCGCCTTTGTCAGATCCAAGCTCGGCATTCCACCCACGCAAAGAGAGCACATGGACAACCAGCTCCGGCCTTTGTTGTCACCATGTTGAGTCTCAACCCGTCGCTTCTTTTCCGCCTTTGACCATGTCTCAATATTAACCATCTTTGTGTCGCTCGAGGTCGTCCACGAAAGCCAGGGGGGTCTATCATTTACTTTGCCACGATGTCATTGTCATACAAATCGGAGGCGCCACTGCGCAGTCGAGGTACTCGGGAGACGACTACGGGCCTCTGTTCCATCATAAGGGTCGTACCACCATCAACCGACGGAACGACTCTTTCGGCACTGATTCGCATCTCAAGCAAGTACCATAGCTTGCCAGTATATTGTTTCAAGTGACGTCCGAAACGAAACGATGGAAGACCAACCTATGATCAACGCGGCCGATGAGAATCATCACGATGAAGACGATCGCTGCTTCTCCTTCAAAGCTGTGCGGGCTGCCGTTGACGACATATTTGCCTCGATCCGCAGTCGCAGACAGCGGAGAAGAGAGAATCGAGCCGCACGGAGGAACGAACACGATGAGCTCCACGACCTTACCTCGGATGACCAAGCACCGTCCATCGAGGATCTCATTTCACAGCCCGCCCCTGCTCTGCCTCGATATGGTGCCGGCGTATCGCTGCCCCGTTTCGTGAACAATACGAGGGCCGAACCGAGCTGGCTCGACCTCTGGGCCGCCAACAACGAGGCCTGGAGCCGGTCGCGGGAGATGTGCCGCGTGCCGGACGAAATCGTACACATGATTACAGAATACTTTGTCCGATCGCAGCCGTCGGTCAAGTATGTGACGGTCCGAGGCGTGTATCATTGCGCATGCCAGGACCAGTACCGGCAGGTCAAGACTTGGACGGGCGATGGACAGCCTGCGTATGGCGAACACTGCTGGTGCCACATTCGAAATCTGAATCTCCTGACCCTTGGCTCTACCCTGAGGCGAGATATGCGCTTGCCAGAAGACGACATTGTGCGCGCCGCTGCGGTTGGCGTGCCGCCTTCGTATGTTATTGAGCAGGTCAGCAGCAAATTTGCTCCCTACAACCGGAGCGTGAACGAGAAGCCACTGTTCGGACAAGCCTGGACGGCGAACATCAGAGACAACGAAGACGCTCAGGGACACTTCTTCCGGTATGGTCTATTTCCACCGAGGAACCTTGTCCCCCGACATCGCCGGCTGCCGCGGGCTAGGCGATCGAGAGACATCAACGAACGCAGCGAGAGAGCGCGCGTGGACATCAACAGGCCAGGCGATAATGTCGGTCTCTACAAAGACGACGATCTCTTCATGATCAAATATCCCTACGTTGAGCCCGCCTATCCGTGGCTCAACGACCCGTACCGCGTGTGGCAGCTCGACAGCAGCTTCCACTACATCAAGCGAGCTGCCATGGATCTGACCGAGTTCCGAAGGCTCGGGGGCGGAGAAGACATCAAGATGCTCTTCCGCAACATGGACCGGAATGAACGATGGCCGCACTTTCACGCACGCGGCATGCATGTGAGCGGCTTGCCGATCGGAGGTCCTGCCTCAGTTATGTACGATCTCCCAGACGGCGATCCGATGCGCATCCGGACGGTGCAGGAAGCGCCCAACCCCGGCGTCGATAATGACATGATCGAAGTTGAAGTCCTCAATGTCAGGCAGGGGCTTGACCCTTCTCGCGGCTTGTGCCTGACACCCCTCATTCATTACTGGAGCTGGGCCCTACCGCAGGCGGAGATGGAAGAGAATGAGGACCTGCTCGAGAACCTGCTCATGGACTTTCAAGATGACCTCGATTACCGTGACATCGATCTCGACATGGTTCCTGAGGATGTCAACGACATGGTGCAGAATCGCATCCGCCTCCAACTTGAGCAGTCCAGCATCGAAGGGCTCGAAGAAAATCGCGAACTATACCGCCCGTGGGCCGATAACAGACCCAATGGCGCCACGCAGTTCCTCGCCGACGTGCTGTCGGGCTGCGACGACTTCTTTCTCGTGACGCCTCTCACCTGGCACCCCGACGTCGAGGAGGCCGACCTGACGCGCTACCTCAGAAGCATACAGCACGTGGACGAGGGCCCTTGCACGGAGGGCGTTCTCGCCATGATGCCCACCCCCAGCGCTTCAATGCAACGCGTGACATGGACTATGTCGAGGTGCGCCTTTGCAGCGGCCTCGAGCTGTGGGATATGGACGAGCTCCAGCGCCTAGACAGGGATAGACAGGCCATTTTTGACGCCTGGCCTGTGGTCACGCACTCGCTTCGGCCGTTCCGGCCGCCGCCGTCCGTTCGATTCTTAACTCTGTTCCCGCGTGATAACAGGGTGTGGTCCAAGGTCTGGAACTTGCCCTGCGACGATGGTGGCCACGAGTTGGGCACCGTTGGCAAGTATACTCCCGGCCGGAAGCGAGCTTTCAGAGATACGTATATTGGAAACGCAGACGACGAAGAGTCCGCGAGAGACGCACAGCCCGAGGTGTCACTGGAGGAGACTGACGGCTCGGAGGACTCGCCAGCCCAGGGAGCTTTTGCTTCGATGAGGAAGAGGATCAAAACCAGGGCTACGGCGGGCCATCTAGCGACAAGGGGGTTCCTGCACAGCATGGAGACGAACTTTAGGAATGGTCTAGCAAGTGTGCGATTGCAGGGATCGCGTCCCACCATCCCAAGGAGGCCGCTGTCTGGAAGCGATCTCGATGGGATAGCTCCGACTCGCCAGCAGCCCAACCAGGGAGATGCTGTCACCGTCATCCCTCCTCAGCTGCCCGTCTTCCCTGGCGGTCCTCCTGGCAGGTTGCAGCCTCCCTATGCACCAATCACCCAGACGCAGACTGTCCGGTACATGCTGAATCCCGGAGTCAACATTGTAGAGCTCGGTACCGAAGTGGCTCTCGAACTCAACAACCAGGTTCAAGCACACGTCTACGCCCAGATCGCCGCCCTCGGCTGCGAGGTCCCCAACAGCGAGACGCCAAACCCCGTGCCCCCTGGTCCCGCGTCCCAGTTCATCGCCGGCGGCACGACCGCCCACACGGTCCTCGTCCGGCAGCGATGGAACCCGGCCCCGTCCGAGGTGCTGTCCCTCGGCAACCGCCTCAGGCGCTACCTCCTGACGCCCGCCATGCTCGCCGTCTTCGCGAACCAGTACACCCTGCCCCAGTTCCGCCAGTACGTCTGGGAGATCCTGACCCAGGAGAACGACCATCTCCTGGCCCTGCACTACCAAGCCTACCACACCCACTGGCCCTACCCAGAGCCGCCGCCGGGTCCCTGGCCTTTCTCGAGGAACTTGACGCCCGAGCAGGTGGCGGAGCACATTCCCAGGGAGCCTCCAAACCCGTGGCCGCCCGCTGGCCTGCCTCCTGGGCCGCCGCTGCGTTCGCCCCCTCCGCCCGGACGCGGTCAGCCTGCGCCGCCGCCACCGCCGCCGCCGCCTGCGCCGTGGGTGCAGCCGCCTGGTCCGCCGCCGGGGCAGCCTCCTGCTTACTATAACCCGCCGCCGCCGCCTCCTCCTCCGCCGCCTCCGCCGCCTCCTGCGCCTCCTGGTGGTGGTGGAGCTGGAGGTGGTCAAGGTCCTCCACCGCCGCCCCCAGGAGGCGGTGGCCATGGAGGTGGTCAAGATCCTCCGCCACCACCTCCTGGTCCTCCCGGAAGTGGGCAGAGCTTCCCGCCTCCGTCTACGGCCCCTGCCCATCCTCCTGCTTCCAACATTCTTGCTGCGCCGCCACTTTACCCCGTTCTTCCTACCGGGCCTGGTCCTCTGGGAAGTGTTCAGGGCCTTCCGCCTCACCCCTGCCCCGCCGGCGAACCCTCCCACCTCTGAGGCTCCTTCCTGCGTTCCCTACGTACCCCCGCCCTTCCTGTCTTCCCGGGTTATCGCCCCGGGTGCTCCCTCCTGGAGGAAGACAGGTTAGGTAGTCAAGGCCCCCCTCCACCTGCCCCCTCCGCCTTCGCTTCCTGCCGCCCCTGGTGGTTCTAGATCCGGCGGCCTGGGCCAGACGCAGAAATCCTAACGTGGGATCATGGGGCACGCACAAATCCCTTGCCAACATGCTGAATGCCCGTGCACGACCTGGTGCGGGCTATTACGTCCTCAGTCCTACGGGCGACGCCCTGCCTCTTGTTTTGGTTCCTGCACCCGGCGAATCCGATGACGGGTGACAGCGATCCTCATGGGCCGGAGGGTTCTGGGAGTTAAAAAGTGGCGCGATAGTCAGAGGTTTCTTTCTGGCCGTTGCCGGTCCTGTGTGGTGTGGGTTTGGTGATGGCACCGAGAAGCGTATGCTCGACGTGTGAGCGTTGCAGACTTACCAGAGCACATCATGAATTATCCTTAGCGCTTCTTTGCCTATTCTTTCTTCTCGCTTTAGGTCCAGTTCTTTACGATGATATTTTTGGAGGCGACAGATAGTAGACAGGCGAGGTGTTTATCTCTCGTCACACGGGATAGTGTTGTCGCGGTTTTCGTAATTTCGGGGACTCTCATTACTGAAGGCTTGGTGTCTCAGCCGCGTAGTAACTGAGCAGCGTGATTTAGCGTGGATACTCTGAGCTTATTGATATTGTCAATACATCTCGTTCGCATCTTTGTTTGATTATTTCCTCTTCCTGGATGGCAAAGCTTTTAGCTTCGGAACATAACGTCATGTTGACGATCATGTCTGCGCCTTGCCATGACGGATCTGCTGCGAGGCTTGGGAAAGTTTTCACAAAGGTCTGACGGTTGGTGCCGCAACGCCATCATTTTTCTCCATCAGCAGTCTATAGGGACGAGAACCACACACTTAGTCATGTGCATGTCTTCGGTCCATCTGAAGCATGCCCGACCTCATATTGGGCATACGGGGCAAACCCGGCAGTAGAAATTTCAAGGTTTCGTTGTCGTGCAAATCCTCTGATTTAGGATTCATCGCAAGAATCCGTTTACCGCACTGACATGGATAGTTTTAGAGGGTGGCCGTTTAAAATATTCTGGAGCTGACTTGATAGCCAGAGGCGGCTTGGCAGCTTGGGAAAGGTAGTTTCATGTTTTGTTGCTTCGAAGAGGACTACATATCAGAAGCGCGCAGTACGAGCTTCCCCCATCTGTAGGATCGGAGATCTTGTGCCGAAGATCACGCCATGTTCACAAATCACCAGTAGAAATCTCCTCGAGATACATCTTTTCTTTGCGAGTGAAGCAATGGTATGTGACGTGATAAATTATGCGCCAGGCTAACGACACCCGCCATTTGGCAAACATCACGGCATACCACTCCCTGGCTTGCCACCCTTTCATGCCTCCATCCGAGCCAGGGTTGCTCCGGCTCATGGAACCCAAAGTCGGCGCAACAGTCCATTAGGCTCCAGGTCGTCAACTCTATGCCTTCCGACAACCGAAGTATTTTGCCACGGGCCGAACTCAACGCTTTTATTGCCAAGCAGGCAGTGTCTTCTCATACCTGATCAGTCTCCCTTTTTGCCGCGAGCTCACTACATATGCCTAAAAGAGCCGCGTTGCCTTGATCTCCCGAATAGGCATGATCTACCTGCTTCCGCTGACTACCCTTGTAAAGGTCTCGTCGATACGACCTCGCCTAGGTGTGGCTCCTGTCACAGTCCCTTCACAGATTCTTGAATGATGTACTATGCGCGAGTAAGGCTGTGGCACGGTTCCCTCAACATGGTCGACGCGGCGGACGGCATTCCGGGAGTGCCGTGCCGCGAGAGGCTATGTTGTATCTGCCATCGGGGTAGTCGGAACTTTATTGCCCCTGAAACAGGTCTGAGCTCAATAACACCTAGAGGCCTGTGTGAGCCGACCTTAAAATGTTATATTCTACCGGGGGTTTAGATCTGCTGTCTTTGGCGATCAAGCGGAGGACATTGCTGCCACGAACGACAGCACAATGGGGCCGCTCTTTCCAGCTGTATGGATCACGCTCGCTTCTGCCACGATCAGTGCTTCACTCAACATCCGCGTTCCCAACATTGTTTCTGTCGAGGTTAACGGACCTAGATACGATTGCAGGTGCTCACCTGAAGATGCCTGCTGGCCTGACAAGGCGGCATGGGATGGCCTGAATGCAACAGTGAATGGAAATCTCCTACGGCACATTCCACCAGCTGCCGTTTGCTACAATGAGTTCAGAGGGATTCCGACCTACAACAAGGCCGCCTGTGATGAAGCCACATCCATGTGGAAGGACGAAAGATGGCAGTGAGTATCACGAGCAGACAAAATAGAACAGCCACCCTAACACAGCTAGAATTTCCCGACCGGCCTCAGTCCTTTGGACCTGGGGAAGCAACAACACCTGCGAACTAACCACTGATCCCTCCGCCAGTTGTACGATGGGCTACTACCCGGAGTTTGTGATCATGGCCAAAACTAGGGACCACATTAAAGCTGGGGTCGACTTTGCTAGAAGTCGCAACATTCGGCTGGTCATGAGAAACACTGGTCATGACTTCGAGTCTAGGAGTGCAGGAGCAAGTTCGTTGGCAATCAACACACATAGCTTCAAGGACATCAGCTTCACCGATAAGTATGATGGACCTGGCGGGTACCGTGGGCCTACGATCACTATTGGAGCAGGCGTGCAAGGTTATGAGGTTATCGACGCAGCACATGCACAGAATCCTCCACGACTCGTCGTCACTGGCGAATGTGCGGTAAGTACACTTCAAGAGTCCATCGAGCAAACTACAGCTAACTTTCTCAAGACTGTTGGTGTGGCTGGCGGCTTCATCCAAGGAGGCGGCCACGGCCCCTTGACCAGCTTGCACGGGTTCGCCGCCGACAACGCCCTCTCATTCGAAGTCCTCACGGCCTCTGGCAATTTCATCACTGCCAACGCGAAATCAAACCCTGATCTCTTTTGGGCACTGAAGGGAGGTGGTCCAGGCACGTTCGCCGTGGTACTCTCCGTGACCATGAAGACGTATCTCGATAACACACCGACTGCCGGGCTTTTCCTAAACGTCAATGCCTCCACTGGGGCTACATTCTCACAAGCTCAGCGTGCAGCGGGCATTATCAACGAGCACGCCAACTACATGGTTGATAACGGGCTCTACGCAATCTATGAGCTTTATGCGCCAGCGATATCCGGAGCCCTTCACGTTCAACCCATCATGGGCTTCAACTTGACTGCGAAACAACTCAGGACCACTGTCGCGCCGCTATTCAAAGCCCTTGACGATGAGAAAATTCCTTACAATTCAGGGTTTCTTGAGTATTCCGATTTTTACAGTATTTACCACGATATCTTCGAGCCGGAGCAAGCTGCCCAGAATGGCCTGACAGGCGGATGGGTATTCACCCACAAAGACATGAGGCCAGAGAACCAAGGTGCCGTGGCCGATGCCATTGCACTAGCCTTGTCTCCACGGTCAGATATGCTAGGCATAGTCATCGGTCACATATTTGACCCTGGACACACAATGACCAAGTCGCAAAGCGCAACGCACCCCCGATGGAGGGGCGCTACGATCCGCTTCATGTCCGTCCTTGTACAACCCCTCGATGCGACCTGGAAACAGAAATTGGAATATCATGATGTGATGGCAAATGTTATCACAGAGAAGTACAAGCAAGCTGCACCCAATGGGTTGGCTTACGTCAACGAAGTGAGTGGTTCGACGCAGCACGGAGTACAGAGCTGACCAATAGCTAGAACTATGCCTTCATGAACAACTGGCAGGATGCTTTCTGGGGCGAGAACTACCCAAGACTAAAGGCAATCAAGAAATCGTGGGACCCTCAAGGTGTCTTCTTTTCGCCCTCCACGCCTGGTACGGAAGATTGGCACATCACAGATTATGCCCACAGGCTTTGCAAGAAGCTGTAATACGCTGAGGGCGGTAGTGTGCTCCTACTGGTCTAGATACAATTTCTTTCACATGGCTATAACGCACTATGTAATTCTTTTGGAAATAACTATAGGAGCCCAATACTTATATACATGCCATGTTCACTCATCCCAGATTACGGCACTTACGCCATCTTCATTGTTCGGTGTCCCGAGCGCCCCAACTCTCACAGCAGCCACAGCCGCACCGAGCCGCCCGGTCGTACTGTTTCTCTCCAGCACGACAACTTCCGCGCTAGTCTGTCCTCCCACAGCAACCAGATCCCCCGCAGCATTGATGTCAAACGTTCTGGGAAACCATGAGCGCGCCGACGCGATCTCTACAAACCGCAGCTCAGCTCGTCCCTCACCGTTGAGACCAATCTCATACAGTGCGATAGAATCTTCTTTCTCCCCGAAGGAGCCGTCATTGCGGTTGGATGCGTAGACGAAATTGTCTCTTACCCTGATCTCTGCTGCTTTCGCTCCCATACGTGGCACGACACCGTCGGGCAGTGTGGAAAGGGACTCGATCTGCTGCAGACCGAGACATCCTCCATCGTAGGTAACTTCCCATGATGTGACGCTGTTCGAAAGCTCGTTGACAGTGAGGAGCACGCTGACCTCAGCATCGTTCGAGGGACTCCAGAAGACCCCATGCCGGGGCCCATCTCCCGGTGTGGCTTCTCCTGCAGGACATTGAGTGAGAAGCCCCGTCTTGGCGTCGATGGCAAAGACATGGATACGATCTGAACCAAGGTCGGCTGTGAGGAGGAACGCGCCAGTCGGATCCGTGAACACGGCATGGGGATGAGGTGCATCTTGACGGGGATCCGGCCCCGGAGCGGGGATGGTAAATGTGACTTGCTGAAGTGGCTGTGATGTCGGCGTCAGCGGCAGGGCGCGAGTCACGATTCGTGCTGTGCCACTGGGTGTGTTAGCCGGTAGAAAGCTGGCAGGAGAAGGATAAGAAAACAACGCACAAATGTGCCATGGCGATGAAGCTCTTGCCGTGCACTCCGCCGTAGCGGGTGCTGTGTACTTCACCACCATCAGAAAGGGTCTGTATCGAGGCCTCAGCGGGCGTCAGGCTTCCACCGGCTTCGACTGTGAAGGTCGTAAGCCCATTAGGTGCAGACCAAAATGCTCCATCTGGGACGTAGAGGGTTGAGGTTTCGGTATCAAGGTCCAGCCACGAGGGCCAAAAATTGCCTGACGGGACACTTGAACCGATCGCAAGCTCGTTGGTGTCGGAGAGAGTCAGCGAGTAAAGCGACCTCGAGAAGTGGGACGCAATGAGCTTGCTGGCTCCCCGTGCCGGGCGTGACAGACTAAGGACCAGGGAGGCAAGCGCAAAGAGTTGTAGATGCATGGCGATTGTAAGGTGTGCAAAATAAAATTGCTCCTGGATCAAGGCTGTACGAATCCATCATATTTATCATGCGTCGGAACCTGAGTTCGGTCCTAGATGGCGGGTCAGGGCGCTTTCGTGATCCGGCCGTAAACCCGAACGGCTGCTCCGGGACATCCCAATCAGGTAATTCCACGGAGCCACCTGGCCTTGACGCTCATCACGTTTCGCATAGATCGTCAGCGGCGCATGAGATCTGCGATATCTTGCTGCAATTTTAGATCAACCAGCATTACAAATCGCGGCACATATAGTACAGGTAGTTCTGAATGGGTCACTCATACCCATTGCGTCACGTTGCCAGCCAAATCAAGGCCCTGATTCTTGTCTAACTAATTAGCCGGCTGTAAGCACTCGATCGAGAAGGCAATCACATCTTGTCAGCGACTTCAGTCAAGGCATCGGTGCCGATTCGAACAACTGCCAAGTTGTTCATATTGACTTTATGACGAGAACTGTAACGAGTGTCTCCAATCCCGACATCATTCCATAATGCAGCACTGATCCTCATTATTAATGTGACTCGAGTACTGCCTCACACGATCCGACGAACTAGGATTCAGCAACCGCCTTCTTGACCTACTTTATCCTCTCTTCAGGCAGCCGCAGTTTGGATGACATACACAGTTCGGCATCCAATCTGGTTACAGACGTCCGGCGCGTCACAAGGAAAGTTTGCTGTCGTGGTGGTCGCTTGAGCAGGACATCCAGCTGACTTGGTCAGTGTCGCTGTGGTCGTGCACTGCGCGATGAAGCAGGATTTGCAAATTGTCCCAGTGACTATGATTGTCGGACAGACGGGAGGCTTGCAGGGCAGCGTGGTGACTGCTGTCGTGGTGATCGTCTTGGTGGCCGTCTCCGTCGACGTCTTGGTGACAAGCTCGGTGACCTTCTGAGTGGTGGTCTCAGTGAGGATTTTATAAGCTGTTTCGGTCTCCGTGATGAAGGCGGTGATAGTCTTGAGGCCGGTTTCAGTCTTGGTGATGATATCTGTTGTAGTCTTGATGTCCGTAGTCGTCTGGAAATCTGTCATGGTCTTGATGACAGTGTCTGTCTGAATGATGACGGATGTAATGGTCTTGGTCACGGGACAAGTTCCCTGCCTGATGGTCGTCGGCTGCAGCGTGATTTGACCGTAGGCAGCTCTATGCTATTGTGTAAGCTTGATGAAGAAGCATTGGATGCTACCTCCTAAAGCTTGTTACTCACGAGGCCGCACCTAGTGCCAGGGTAAAAATGAGACTTGAACGCATGTTTTGGGAGTCTTGTGAGTTTGTAGCCTGCGGGAGAAGCTCTAGAAGTATGGCGATCATTTCTGCTTCGGAAACAGAAATAAGGGCTCTTTTATGCCTACACTTTTCTTCGACGGCACAGGAACTCGCGAGCTCCCTGGGTCACAGAGCGAGGCCCCGCTCGAGGCATCAGTATGGCTTCATGCTTGTGTCGTCAGCCATGGTTGATGAGTGAAGCACATGTTTCCTACAGACTGGCCGACCAATGAATGCGACAGCCAAATAGCCTATTACACGACAGTCGTGTTGTGTGAACAGCCGGATATGGAAGCTGAATGTTTTGTTGCGACCATTTCCAAAGACACCCAATGATCCTCGCCCAATAAAGTGCACAATGCTACTCGGGTGGCCCGGAGTTACAATGAGAGACAGCTGAACCTAATAGACCCCGCCCTCGGTTCCAATCGCCGCGAATTCGTGGATCAAGCCGAAGGTGGCTTTACATTCGATAAAACAATCTAGTACTTGTTGTAGACCTCTGCTATTCGGTGTTATTGAGATCGCATTGGCAATCCAAAACGGACCATCTTTGTGCCTTGTATTCAATGAACCAAACGGCCCGTATCCTAGGCTGGGGTCAGAGCCTGTGGCCAAGACAAGGACAGCGCAGTTGTCCAAAATGCCAACCCTACAGGCCTGTGCCTCGCGATACCGTGCGCGAATACTGCAGATGCCTGCAAGTAGCTTTTGCTAATATTCTTTCTCTTTAGGATGATGAGCTCACTGTTTGTGAATACTTCGTCGCCTAATCTGGCGTTGCTACAAGACCGCTAATCTTACAACCATTGATCCTTAGCTCCACCGTCGATGCAGGACTCGTCTAGCACTCATGGCCCCTGTAAGCCCTGGAAAGCCCATGCTGGGACTCCAAGACGGTTGAGCCGCTCCAACTCTAAACCTTCGTCGATTTCCGCCAGAATGTTCGTCCCTTCATCAACAGCGCCACCTCAATTCGCACACACAGCATCAAACATGGCGCATCGTACGGCGACAACAGGTGCCCTTCTGGCCCTGAACGCCTTCGGCGTCCTATCCATAGGGGGCCTTCTCTTCCTAAACGGCTGGATGGACATGAAGGACGACCTCATGGCACAGCCGGAGCCAATGCTCCCGGGCGCAGGTGGCCCGGCTCGAACGTACTTTACGGGATCTGCGGCGCTCGATGAGGCCCTCACAGGCATACTCAAGTTCTTCTATCCCTGCGTCAGCGGTGAGATGCCTGCGCTGTCGCTCTTCACGGCATACATGGCCGGCCAGGTGCTGCCAATACACACGGCGCTGCTACTCGAAAGCTCACGAGCTGGCCATCGTAGTACGATGCTCGCTTTGTAAGAATTTCTTGACGGGTTGCGTGCTTCTATAGAGCGAGGCCTTTCTGACAGTAGCAGTCCCGTTATCTGGGGAATGACATACCAAAGCATTCCCTTTGGCATCATCCTCCCTCTGTACGCGATAGCGTACATCTGGCTCTCGCCTTTGGCGAAGCCAACGCAACCCAGGACGTCGCGTTCTGCAAACCAGCTGTCCACAGACTTAGCACGCCTACAGACCACTTCGAGTGCCATGCTCCTTGCTTTGTTCTGCCGTCTGTCCTTCCAGCGCTGCCATCCCCTTCAGTCATATCGCGCGATAGCCAGCAAATCTTTCTCGCCCTGTGGCAGGTCTTCCCCATCTGGGTGTCCCTGTCGCATTGGTTTCTCGCGGCGGCAGCCCGGACATTCGGCTTCGCGGCTGGTCCGACGCATGTCTCACCAACGGCATCGCTGCAATCTTTGCGTCAAGCTTATAGGACAACGCTCAAGTACACGTCTCTTGTGCACTTTGGAGTTCTTGCGCTGGCGACGTTTCCCCAGCTGAGACCTGTGGTCTACGGAGGCCTGCTCCAGGAGCGGGTCAGTCTCTGGGACATGTTTGTGCCTCCATCCGCGCTCTCGCCCAAGCAGATCAAGACGATGGCGGAAGGGAGCTTGACACTGCTGCAGTACGACCTTTACTGTGCTTGCGCAGCTATGGCTATTTTGGTGTCGTACCTGGCTTACATCGTCGGCGGTCTGAACAGGGCTGCTGTCCTGAGTACGATCGGTGGGCTTCTGCGCCGCAGTGTGGTTGTCGGTCCTGGAGGAGCGGTGCTGTGGGCGCTCTGGGATCGGGACGAAGAGGTGCTGGCCGGGGGGGGATGAGGGCCGTGGATTTGAACACATTCCCATCCGAGTCCATGGTAATGAGCAAAGGAAAAATATGTGTTTGGGAGCTCATTTCGCAAACGTTCACAATCTCAACTCACATGTTCATACCATTCGCCTTCAAACAACGTCGCAAGCGGTGATTATCCATTCAGTGCCTGCCAGACATTGAGTTAGGCCTACCGCCCACACTGACGTCCCCACTAATGAGTGTTCAGAAATGTGTCAAACCTTGACTTTTCCCCCGCTCTTTGTCGACATAATGCCTCAGGTTTGGCCACTCATTAACCAGCTTCGATCGTCTAGTTGGTTAGGATGATGCATTGTGGTTCTTACTACAATACTGCATTGACGGCAGTTCGAATCCGCCTCGGAGCAATTTTTTGATGTTTTTCGTGCCTTTTTGCATGTTTCGTGGTAGCAATCATCGACAAACTCAGGTTGTAGTACTTCTTGTGCTACCAGGGGTTTCAAGGGACTGATATGCTTGCACTGTGCTATCTCAACATGGATTCAAAGCCAAGCTGGGCTTCTTCCCGTCCTTGTGCCACGACCGGCCCGGTTCGTAAACTAAAGAACGTCTGAACTCTGCCACCTTCACGCCTCAGTTTCATTGGCATTGTGACCTCGAAAACCCGGAATATCGGCCCCAAATACTGCCATCAGTATCCTCCCGAGTCCGAATGAACGCGGGGTATGCACGGGGGAGGGGAAACTCCGTTGATCATTCGCATCCCCGACCGTGGTGATTCGCCCATTTCTCCCGTCACCTCAAACTTGACCCGACAGAGTTACATGCCGACGGCCCTGGATATGGATCGCTGTTCCTTGGTATATTAGCTTCGATGACACCGTGCGCTACACTTGCCAAGAGCGTACTGCCGGACCAGTGAGAGACGGGCAAGCCCGGGGTGATCGACAGTAGGATGGCCTTGGAAAGTCCAAGACATGAGAAGGGGAAGTCGGTGCCGGTAACGGTGGCAGTATGTAAGGGTAGCATGTTCGTTCCACTAAAGGTTGAGCGTTGTTTGTGTACAGACAGTTTGGTAGCGGACTAGTGGCACCTATCGTTGTCACACGAGCTCCAAGCATAGATCGCGCGAGCCTCATCGTTCATACTCTTGAAGAAATCAGTTGAGATGCAGCCCAAGTCTCTTCGGGCCCTATTCTTGGGTCTGGCGTTGGCCACGAGTGTCGGGGCCAAAGGACTTGACCAGAATGTTCACGACATCAAACAAGTGGGCAGCCGTCAAGCCCAGGACATTGTGAGTGAAGAAATAAAGGCTCAAACGAGTTCGTCACTAACAGCGCTGTTTCAGGTGACCTGGGATGATCATAGTCTTTTTATTAATGGCGAGAGGCTGATGGTGTTCAGCGGCGAATTTCACCCATTTCGGTTCGTGTTCATTCATTTTTTGAATGACAATAGACCTAACGTATCAAGATTGCCCGTCCAGTCCCTCTGGCTCGATATCCTGCAGAAAATCAAGGCGTCCGGCTACAATTGCGTCTCCATCTACATCAATTGGCATCTCATCGAGGCTGAGCGAGGTCAAGTTCGGATGGATGGCATATTTGATCTCAACCCGTTCTTTGAGGCTGCGAAAAAGGCAGGCCTATATGTGCTACCTCGGCCAGGGCCGTATATCAACGCCGAGGTCGCCGGCGGCGTTTTCCAGGATGGCTGACAAGAACACCGGGGGCCCTCCGCACATATAACGAGGCCTTCTTTAACGCCACTGACCTGTAAGTCTGGAGATTGTTGGTTCTATAAGCAAGGCTGACGTTCTAGATACACCCACGAGATTGGAACGGTCATCGCCGCCCATCAAATTACCAACGGCGGTCCGGTCATCCTTTTCCAGCCTGAGAATGAATACCAGAACACGATTGATCAGGAACTGTACCCAATGCCTGATTATGACTACTGGGAACGCGTCCAAAATCAGTACCGTGATGCCGGCGTCATTGTGCCGTACGTCAATAACGAAGCGCACATGAACGGCTATATTACCGCCCACACGCCCGCTAGCGTAGATATTTATGGCCACGATTCTTATCCCCTCGGCTTCGACTGCGAGAACCCGACTGTCTGGCCAGAAGACGGTCTTCCGACAGACTGGCTGGCGATCAATAATGCCATCGCCCCGGATACACCTTACACAATCCCCGAGGTAATTCATTCAGGATCTGTTATGATACGAAAGACTAATAATCGCAGTACCAAGGCGGAGGCTTCCAGCACTGGGGCGACGCTGGCTTTGAGAACTGCGCCCTCCTTCTTAACATGGAGTTTGAGCGCGTCCTCTACAAGAACAATTACGCCGTCGGTGCCACAATCTTCAATATATACATGACATATGGCGGCACGAATTGGGGTAACTTGGGCCACGCTGAAGGCTTCACGTCATACGACTACGGCGCGCAAATCACCGAAGAACGTCTGCTCTGGCGAGAGAAATACAGCGAGGTCAAGCTGCAGGCCAACTTCTTTCATGTGTCGCCCGCGTTTCTGGCAGCAGAGAGGTTCAACTCGTCTCTAGATTACACAGATAATCCCGGTGTCACTGTTACGCCAGCCAGGACGAACACCACAAAGTTTTATATTTCACGACACACGCAGTATGATACCGTCGACAGGGTACCTTACAAACTAAAGATTGAGACAACGGGCCATGGGGGCCTTGTGATTCCACAGCTTGGAGATAGCCTGTATCTGACGAGGCGCGATTCCAAGATCCACGTTAGCGACTATTCAGTTGGCGAACATACCTTGGTCTACTCGTCTGCTGAGGTGTTCACATGGAAGAAGTACGATGATAAGACGGTGCTTGTATTATATGGGGGGCCTGATGAGCATCACGAAATCGCCATTGAGGGCGCAGGCAGCGCTGACAGTGAGGTGCTTGAGGGCTCAGGTGTCAAGATTGAAGATAGAGATGGCTACACGATTGTGGCTTGGGACGTGACAACTCACCGCAAACTCGTGCGCGTCCATCAAGACCTCTACATCTATCTCGTGGTTCGCAACGAAGCTTACAACTTCTGGGTTCCCCCGACAGGATCTGGTGGCGACTATGGCACTTCGGACGTCATCCTCAAGGCAGGCTACCTTGTTCGCACAGCCAACGTTGACGCGTCGACCCTTGCACTCGTCGGCGACGTCAACGGTACGACTCCGATCGAGATTGTCGGCGGCGCTCCCGCCGACCTGAAGACCCTGACCTGGAATGGCCGAGAACTGTCCTTTGAACAGTCTTCACATGGCGTGATCACGGCCATGGTAGACTTCTCTCCGCCTGAGATCAAGCTCCCATGCTTCAGCCAGCTCAAATGGAAGACGATCGACTCGCTTCCTGAGATTCAGTCTTCATACGACGACTCTCTCTGGACAGGCGCCGACCTCACAACCTCCCCGAACGACAAATTCCCCATCAAGACACCCGTCTCGCTCTATGCGGGCGACTATGGCTTCCACACCGGCTCCGTCATCTACCGCGGCTACTTCTCCGCCACAACCGCCGAGTCTACCCTCAACATCACACTCCAAGGCGGCCACGCCTTTCGGCGCTTCCATCTGGGCTCGACGACCAGCACCTCGGCTCCCTGGCCCGGCTCCCCCTCCGCCCAAAGCGGCACCCTCACCAGGGCCCTGCCCTCCCTGAAACCCGACACGTCGCACGTGCTGACCCGTGGTCATCGACTTCATGGGCCTCAAACGGCAAATAACGTCCTCGGGGAAGACAAACCTCAAGACGCCGCGCCGCCATTCTTCGCTTACTCCACTCTCAGGCCACGAGCCCGACGCCGTCAAAGTGGAAGCTGACGGGTAAACTCTGCGGCGCACGCTACGCAGACAAGAAACGCGGGCCCGCTGAACGAAGGCGCTCTATTCGCCGAGCGACAGGGCTACCATCAGCCGTCGCCGCCTTCGTCGTCCTGGGCGGCCGGCGGGCCGACGTCTGGGCGCACGGCGCCGGGCGTGTCGTTTTACACGGCCGAGTTTGCGCTCGACCTGCCGCGCGGGTATGATGTGCCGCTCGCTGTTCGGTTCGGCATGAGTGGGGAGAGAAAGGGGGCGTACCGGGTGCAGCTTTTCGTCAACGGGTTCCAGTTTGGCAAGTTTGTGCCGCATATTGGGCCGCAGGCTAGGTTCCCTGTACCGGAGGGAATTCTCGACTATCACGGGACGAATACGGTGGGGATCACGCTTTGGGCGATGGAGGAGGGCGGCGCGAGGGTGGAGGGTATGGCGTGGGATGTGGGCATGGTCACGGCGAGTGGGTTTGGAGACGTCGAGCTGACGGAAGCGCCGGTTTGGGAGGAAAGGGAGGGTGCATATTAGGCCCACGACAGGTTCTATTACGTTTTGAAGTTTGCTGGTATCCTGAGTTTGGGATTTCATGGCGAGTGATATCTAGTGGTATCCGTCATCGTATTCGTCTTCTTCTTCGTCTTCTTCGCCATCGTCTGCCATTCCTAGCACCAGATCATCCGAATCTCTGTCCGAGTCATCCTCGTCCGTGCCTCTGGTGTAATCATTTTCCTCTTCTTCTGATCCGGAGCCTTCTTCCGAATCATCAATGGGGTTCGCCTCTCGGTGTAATCGCAGGCGTTCTGCGAGTGAAAGTGTTTTTGGTGGCTCGTCTTCATCCTCATCATCAGACTCCTCCTCTTCCGAATCTGACAGAACCACAGGCGCCCTCGTGCTGGACCCGCGTCCGCGAATCTTCTGAGCAACCTCCTCAATATCAGACTCTTCCTCCTCCTCCTCGTCATCGTCATCGATGACCACTGGTCGTGCTCGTTTTGCGGGCCTGCTTTGTACTGCAGAATCTTCCTCGTCTTCATCCTCAGATAGAATGACGCGTGATCGCTTCTTACTCCGCGATGGCTCTGGCGCAGCGATCTCCATGACCGACTCGTCACCAGCTACATCCTCGTCGCTGTCGTCCTCGATGATCTGGCGACCCCTTATCCGCTTAGTTGGTGATCTCGGCGGCGACGCTGCCTCCTCTTCCTCTGGGCTGTCTGCTTCGTCCTCTTCTGAGGAGTCATGGATAGTGTATACGCTATGATCGTGCGTCTGGATCTCACCTTCCACCGGCGAGAACCCAGCAGAAGACCCAGTCCAACCTTGAGCCAGCTCCATCGCCAGCGTGTCGTTCTCGATCCCAGAGCCCTCGTCGTCATCCGTCTCGGGTTCGGGGACTGTAGCGTCGTCGATACCGTCGCTATCGTAGTTGTCTAGAAACGAGTCGGGCTCTGGCACATCGTCGTCCTCCATCAATCGACCGAGGAGCTCCTCGTCCCACGTACCGTCGGGCAATCGTGCTTGGCGCAGCACGTTGAGCAGAGCGTCGTGGCTGTTTCCGGAGAACAGCCTCATAGGGCAGAGCATGATTGCACCGAGCCTGTCCGTTTCCTTGAGCGTGGCCAACCTGGCTTCTTCACTCAGTTCATCGAACTCGTCTTCATCGAAATGCACGAGACTCTCTCTCAGGGGCCTAAGGCCAGTGTAAGCAGTCACGGGGGAACAGTCGCCTTCCTCGTCGCACTCGGCGTTGGGGTCATGCCACACATAAATCATCTCGAAATCCTCGCCGAGACCGGGCTCGATTTCCTCCGTATCTGCATGGCAAGAAACAGCGTGGTCGGAGAAACACCATTTCAAGTCTGACACGTGAATTTGATGGGCATCGACGTCGAAGCAGGGGTACACGGCCTTCAAGTTGCGCATGCTTAGAAAGTACTGATAGGGAACGAGGTCCACGTCGCTCCCTCTGTCGAGCGGCAGTTGCATGCCGAGATGATTGATCCTGTCTGAGAAGCCGGGGATTTCAAAGGCGTCGGGACCGTTCGCATGGCTGGAGGGTGCTGGGTGCTCCAAGCCGTTGTCGATGTCGCTGGCCGAGACCATGATGATATCGCTATCCCGGTTGAAGTGAAACGTGGCGGGCTTGGCTTCTTCGGTAGAGAAGTCGAGGGCATGTGGATACCTGCCGAGATACAGGTTGCGGGTTTCGTGGTAGACGGAGAGCATGGCCCGCGAGGCGGTCGTTCTCGCGAGCAACGAGCTGCCGGCAAAAGCTTTCCACTTTCCGTCCACGTTCCTGTGAATAGAAAACTCCAGAACACGGTGAGATACGTTCAGATCATCGCAAAAATGGTGCCAGATGAGCGCACGCAGCTCGATAGGTAGCCGCATGAACTGAGGGAAGGAGCGGGGTCCAGCGACAGCGTGTCCCCAGAAGGGCTTCGCTCGTGCTCCGGAGTTTCCATAGGGATCAGAATCGTCTGAATCGTCCGAAGCGTCAGAGCCCTCGCCATCTTCGCTTTCGCTGGCGCTGTCGTCGAGGGCTTCCGTGTCGAAGAAGTCACCGTGACGGGCCTTTCTTCGGGGCGCTTGCGAGCCATCAGAGCTGTCAGATTCTTCAGCTTCCGAGCCTGACGACTCAAAGTCTTTGGCACCAACGATCCTGACCTCCTGTTCGATGACTGATGAGTCGTCCTCCGAGGCGGAGTCTTGAGACTCCTCTGGCCGAAGTCTTGCCATGGTGGGGCCAACGATGGCAGGCGTCTGGAGGTCTAACGACGGTCTCCTCAAATATGGCTGCTCAACAAGGAGAATCTAGGACATTATTAAAGACTAAATGTATGGGAGTTGATGTAAATGAGAGTTGGAAGATGATATGATCAGTCGACGTGTTGGATGAATGAGGTCGACGACAGGGAGCCAGAGCAGGAAACGGGCTGAGGCGCCTTAGCCTTAGGTCAGCAAATTCACCCAAAGGCGAGACGCGTCAAGATTCGAGCGTCAGACGCCAAGTCACATGACCATGACTCAGCATTTTGACCAGCGATACTGCGCTCCTGTGTCGCCATTTCCGACCTTGCCTAATCCCTCTGAACTCCAACAGTGCATCACCAGGTCAACATTAGATTGCAACTCCTCCCGAGTCTGCTCCCGCAATCTTGCCCTCGATGGCCGTTTCTCTACCCGTAGACTCGAAATTTTGGGCAAATGGCTCATCATACGCCCGCCTGCGTACGACTGTATATGCTGAGACGTCCGACAAGGCTCTCGAGCATCCCGTCCACCTCACCAAGCCCTCGCCTCGATCACGCTAATCTTGCCAATCGCAATACTATATGCACCCTGCCGTACGTATAATACTGCCATCCCGGAGGCAACCAAGCTCCGAGGATGCTTCCTACGAACGAGACAAGCACCTCTTTTGGCACCCTATCGCATCTGTTTCCTCCAACGTCTTCACGTGTCCAAGGAACGTATCCTCTCGCCTCGCCACGAGCCACACATCACAGGCGAACATGTGCTACTCTCCGTGCCAAAAGTCTTGCTCCAAGACATCAGGGCCATCTTGACCCTCCTCAAGAGCTGAGCATTGACCATACACTTCGTGATGGAGCACGCCGGTGCGGGCGATGACGCCATTGACCGCCTCGAGGTTCCTCGCCCAACGACTGGGACATTCATGATGAGCCAAGAGAAACTCATTACAGCTCTCGACCGCCTTGCCCCCATTTTGGTTGGGAGTATTGAGAGTATTGAGGGCCAGAATTTTGGGGCGGTATAGGATGCGGAACGTCAAGGGCACGATATCAGCATAAGAGTCCTAAGAGTCCAGCGTGGAGAGCAGACCCTACGCCGGCGTGACTGACGTACCTGGCGTCCATGTGTGGTCGGACTCACTAGAGTCTAGATAGTCCTGAGCTCATTATTATCTGACTTCGAGGTGCGCGACAGGCCAGCGGCGTGCGGTCAACGTCGTCGTCGTCGATTGGCGCTCTGTCGGCACTGCCGTCAAGGGGTTCGCCGGGGAGTTGCTGGGTGTGGACACGGCGGGCCGCTGTATTCTGTCACGCAGCTCGCATCGCAAGGGTGAGAATTGTTGCCACGGTTTCGTATAATGTTGTCGCGTTCGTCAGCGGGAGATCGTCAAGGTAAGGAAGAGACTTTCCGTGAGAATTCATCTACATCACAAATTTTACAAGCAGTCACAAGAAGAAAGTGGAAATAGTCGGAAAAAAAACATGGATGCAAATCGCTATGGATCAACTCTCTATCTCAGACCACCAGTCCCTTCACTCGGCAGCATTGCTAGCGCACGTCCAAGGCTTGGTGCCCTTCTCCGTGGCGATGGCCTCGATGGAAGCCCACAGGCCGAGCACACAGATGAGAAAGCCAGTCAGGAAGAGCACGACGTTGGCAACGAAGCGGCACGTCTGCGCCTTGCTGGAGAAGTAGTTCCCCTTGTGCATCCACAGCCAGAAGATGCCGGGGAGGCCGTAGGAGAACCAACTGGCGAAGAGGGCAGCGATGAGACCGAGCAGGCTGTTGAAGACGGGAATGGACTCGGCGATGACGGTGGCGAGGACCCAGATGCCCAAGGTGACGGCGACCCAGGCGAGGTTGGAGAGCTTGGTGCGGCGGATCATGTGCTTGGTATCGCGGAACATGCGGGAGAAGATGTACTTGGCGGCAACGTGGCCGTAGATGACGCCGGCGATGACAATGGTGGGGATGGCGACGCCCCAGATGGCCTTGCGCATCGTGGGAGAGTGCGCGGCGCTGAGGGCCGGCGACGGGACGTCCTGGCCGACGTAGACGTAGATGACAATGGCGGCGAGGAGGTAGAGGGTCGTGTCGCAGATCTGGAGCAGGGCAAGCGCCTTGGGCCAGTCGTCGGGGTTCTTGAACTCGCCAATGACGCTGAAGAAGCACGAGTGGCTCGAGAAGGCCACGGCAATGTTGGTGACGGCGAGGAATGCGCCGGTGAAGCCGAGGTGGCGGGCGACTTCGATCGAGCCTGAGCCTATGGGCTTCTCGGCGGCAACGTCGCCGAGCGTCATGAGCATGGCGACGGTGATGGAGAGGCACGATGTCATGGACATGTACGACGTCCACTTGAGGGTGCGCGGCAGGTTGAGGACCCAGAAGACGGCGAGACCGACAACGGCCCAGACGATGGTGCAGGTCGAGCTGTTGGTCAGCGTGTTGAGGCAGATGGTCCAGGTCAGCAGGTGGGAGCCCATGACGAAAACCTGGAAGATGACCTGCGCCCAGCCGAAGATCTCCTGGAAGAGGCGGCCCATGCCGATGGGCTTGCCCATGACCTCGACGGCGTCGCCAAAGTTCTGCACAAAGGGATAGGCGCGGCGGAATTCTGCGAGCACGACGCCCGAGTAGGTCGACAGCGCGCTCATGACGAGGATGAGCACAATACCGGGCACGAGACCGACGGTGGCCAGCACCGAAGGCAGGGAGAGAATGCCGAGGGAGACCGTCTCAGCAATGAGGACAATACCTCCTTGCCTGAGGATTTGTCAGCTGCCCGAAACACCTCTAACGACTGATTGACCAAAAAGGCAACATACCACCAGTTGAGAGTCTTATAGTTGATGAGCTCACCCTCCTCGCTTGAGAGCATGCCGCCGTCGTCGTTGTTGGCGGCGGGCGCCTCGTACGTGGGCACGGCATCGCCATAGCCCTCGTTCTTGGTGTTGGGACCACCCGACACGTTAGCGTCGGGGGCATTCGTCCAGTCGGCAGAATTGCCCATATTGTGTGCGATAGGATGATATGGAGAGAGATTGATGTTGAGGTCTGTCAAGGAGTGGCAGGCAGACCAATGTGTCCTTCACCTGTTGTCGCGAGACTGACTTGCAAAGACAGCACCTGAAACGTCTAGAGCAGCAGTTCAAGTCAGAAAAGAGGGAAAACAGAGAACCACTGCAAAACCGTGCACATTCCTGACAGCTCGACCGGGTGCAGCTTCAAGATATATCCCACATGGCCATTCCGCGATCGGCTCCTTCGCATTGACTAATACCACGAGGCCAACAGTTACAACAGGTCCAGCAAGGAGGCGATGCGTCAATGATGGGTCCCGCGCGAGGGCGAAATTCGGCCGACAGCTGCGGCATGGAGCCGGGCCCAGAAATGGACGGCCTGTGACTCGTCCAGAACCTGGCGGCGCCGACTCATTGTCCTCTGGCGCTCTGGCGTTAGGGTGCTCCAGGCGCCCATCGGGCCCCCCGGACGTGAGCCTCGGTGCGGAAGAAGGCCGGCCTCTCGCTTTTCTGGCCGTGCTAGACGTTGAAGGGGCTAGGGCCTCCCCGGCTATTACGAGACATCACAGGCAGATTGTGACGGCTTGCCACAGGTTGCTGCGCGCAGGCAGTCGGCTCAGATGGAATGAAGCTAGGATTTGACTTTTTCTCGTCGTCAGCCGTGAGACATTCCGATCCTGCAAGCCACACGCACCTACAGTGCGCCCCCTCTCCAAATTTGTTCTTCTTTGTATGCAGAGAAGCACACGAGACATTCCATGGAACGCACGTTAAGCTTTTCGAAGGCCCGCCGCGGGTTCCGTAAAAAATCTGCCGTTGGGTAAGCCTTACGTATTGGTCCGCCTCCAAGACGCCCTCTCGACAGAGGATCGGAGCGGGACTAGATGAAGAAATGGACCCGGTATGGAGCAAAGAAATGGACCTTTGACTAATAACTGTCAATCCATTAGGCACTCGACTGCGCTCGAGGAGGGCCGCAAGAGCCTCACGGAGCACCCAAACCCGGACCGTGACCACGACCCCCCCGGTTCCAGCCAAGCCCGCAATTCTCTGTGTGACTCGGCCCACCGCTCGAGCGCCGTCGCATGAAGCCGTCATCCTTTGTGCCCCTCGCCATGACAAACGAAATGCCAGATGGGTGCTGCTGGCCCCTATTTCCCCGTGGGGAGAGGCACGCCTTTTGCCTTTTACATGATAACTATGACACGATTCCTGGGGGAAAATGGCAGAGAACAGACAATATTGAAACTCTGTTTATGTAAAGCGTCGTCACAAACGCTCCCTGCGACTGAGGGGAAGAAGCCATGTCACACGCCTTTACGAGTATCCTGGTGCATAATGGGGAGAGAGGTGCGGCGAACTTCCCGGGTCGGACCGCGCGCCCTGTTTCTATTTTCCCGTTCTGGGCGGCCGTGCTTCGGTCTTCGGATTCTGCTGGCTGGCCAGAAATTTCGAGGAACACAAATACGAAGAAAAAAAACGTGGTGGATGATCCGATCCCGGAGGACGCTACCCGGCACTAAGGCATCGGGAAGCGGGGGAGCGGAAATGCGAGGAAGACTCGATTCAGCAAAAGCTCGGGTTTGAGTTTTTCCCACCCTCGCTTTTCAATTTCGACTTGCTTGTAGCACTATTCATCGTGTACTCTTGCCCAAAGCCGATGCGATTCGTTGGAGAGACCCATCTGCCATGAGGTCCAGCTTGTCATGCGATGTCTGTCGGTAAGTGGATCTGGGGAAAGGGAGAGGGCCGAGACTTTGAGCCGTCTCTACCCCGTATTGTATTATTCTGCCTTGGGCCATTATGCCATGTGTCCATCTACCCCGTATTCTTCCCCTCGAAGTGGACTGATCTCCCTCAGCGTTACCCCGTGTTTCGATGGCGTGACCGATCTGATGCTAATCTGGGCTGACCCGTCGGTAGGCGGAACAAGGTCAAGTGCGTCAACGAGGGGCATCCGCCGTGTCGCAAGTGCGAGAAGGCGGGGAACCTTGAGTGTAGGCTCTCGAGACCAGACAAGCCTGGTGCCAGGACGCCGAAGAGGGTGAGACTTGCTGCTGCAGGCTCTCGAGATGACACACCAGGAGATGCCGTCCTCGAGGCTCATGAGACGGGCCCGAATTCTTCAGGTTCGGTAGTCAACGCAAGTATCAGCAGTTCCAGCCAGCGTCATGTTCGCGGACATGGACATGCTCCCGGCCAGTCTTATGAGGCCCCGAGCCTCGGAAACATCACAGCACATCTTGCTGCCATACCGAACAGCATCATTCTCAAGACGCTCAACATCTTCAGCTGCAAGTATCCCGAGCTCGCAGTCCTTCATCCTACCGTCTTCATGCGCGACCTGGTCGATCCGAGGTCCCAGAAAGAGAGTCAAGTCCTCCTAGCCGCCGCCCTTGCCGTCACAAGAGACCAGTTGCGTGACCATGAAGACCGCATCTTGCTGCCGCGCGATGTCTATGCCTCGTATGCTAAAGAGCATCTCTCAGAGTTTATCTTGCAGCCGCCAAAGGTGCAAGTAGTCCAGACCCTTCTCATCATCACGCTTCACGAATGGGGCTCGCGCGACTTCCACCGGGCATGGATCTACTGTGGTAAGTCCTTGTTCTCCTTTCGGCCCCATCAGGCGCTGGCTTTGCGCAACAAAAAAGCTGACGCACGCCAGGCATCGCCATCCGCATCATGCAGGCCCTACATTCGGCCCGCGTGGCCCCCTATCCCCTCGATATACCTTCACCTGCACCCAATGACCCCTTGACCCTCGCCGTCGAGTCCCGTACCTACTGGGCTTGCTTCATCATGGACTGCACCGTCAATGCGGGCACCTACAACCCCCGCATGCTTCCCCGCACCGAGATGCGCAAGCTCCGCGTCGGTCGTCCCCTGTCTGCCGTCGAGTTCGCCTTTGGTCCGGCCGCACCACCCGCTGCAGCCGAGCCCAGCGTCTCCGGCCCGCTCGACATCACGCAGAGCTTCGAGATCATGGTCGGCGGCTTCGACGTATGGGCTCAAGTCATGGCCTTTGTGTTCAACGACGGCCGTAGGGCCGAGGGCATGTGTCGCGCCGAGAACTGTCCATGGGTCGAGGGCACCGTCTGGGCTGAGCTGAGGAGGAGCCTGGAGGAGTGGAGGGCCGGTCAGCATCGGAGGCTGCTGTATCCTGAGAACAGCGCGGCTGTGCACATTTCTCTGGGATATGGCGAATCGTTCACGTACTTGAACCTTCTCTACTATGTGAGGTATGTGTACATGGCTGCGAGGCCTTCCTGGCTCTGAGAAATGCGCAGAGACTGACAATACAGTACTCTCATGCTTCACCGAGAATACTTTCCCCTGTTGCCGGAGCAAGACCAGATCCCCCGGGGCCCGGTAGATCCGTGTCTCCAGGCTGAAGCGCCCGCGGGATGGTGGGACGAGTCGGCCCGTGAGTTTTTCGGTGCTGCCGAAAAGATCGCGCGGCTGCTGCATGAGACTGCCGAGTGCGGTGGCCTGCTCATGACACCCTTTGTCGGCTTTTGCGCCTTCACAGCGTGTTGCATGAATCTTTACGTCTCCTTCTTTCCTCGGATGAACCTGGGGAGAAGCCCCGATGCCGCAAAGCTCATGAACTGGACTCTTGACTATCTGAAGGAGTTTCAGTCCGTTTGGAAGCTGGGTTCTGGATGGGTGAGCTTCTGTTTCTTGTACTCAATATATTTATTTGGAACCTAACATCGACTAGATCAAAACGATACAAAACACGTCCCTTCTTTACGAGCGTGCGGCAGCAAATCGTTCCCGTTACCGAGGCAAGTCGCGGAGCGACTTCAACCATCTCCACCAGTCCCTCCATGAATTCCGCAACGTCGACCGTTCAGACCAGCATTTGCAGGAGATCAACAGCGCCGAGACGCCGACGGAGCCCATGCCAACGCCGACCAATCCACCAACGACGTCGACCACTGCCGGGGACGAGCAGCCACCCGCCGATGCGAGCGCGCTGCTGGGACAGATGTTGGCAGAGGTGAGTAGCGGTACCGACGAGCAAGTCGTCTGGCCGAACTGGTGGTCTATGCTAGAGGACGTAGACATGACTGGCTCTTTTGGCGGAGTCATGAACGCGTGAGCTGTCGTGTGCATGATTCTCAGTCTATCTTCGGTTGTCTAAGGTCTATCTCATGAATCATAATCATCAGCGCATCATGCAGACTTTTCACACCTTCGTGAAGACGGTCTTGCTCTGCATCGACCGAACCGCGAGGATGAAGAGCATGCCCATCAGAGACATGGCGCCGCCATAGTACGCTGCTGGCCGATACGCCTCGACGCTGTCGCCCCGTCCTGCCAACGAGTAGAGACCGGAACCAATGGGTGAACCCTGGATTCAATGATTAGCAGAGCTCAGAAACAACCATAACCCACACAGCCGACAGGAGGGTCACCTACAAAGAAGAAACCGAAGAACCACGTTGTCCAAATCAAAGGGATTGTCCCCAACACATTCGTGGCTCCGAACGCAGACCCTAGCACCACTGGTACCAGACTGAAGAACGCGCCGCACCCAATGCCGTTCAAGACGATGAAAGTCATGAGCACTGCCATTGATGACGCAAATGGCCACACAACGAGCATGCTTAGGCCTGTGAGAAGCAGGCACAGCACTAGGCTGTTCATTGGACCGAGGAGACAGTCCGATAGGTGCCCGGCGCCGACGCGGCCGATCGTTGACGCGACGTTCCAAACAGCGAGGCCAAGAACGGCAGCATGCTCCCAAGACGTCACAGTGCGAGCGAAAATCGGAATGAAGTAAGGTGGGATGAAGAGGGGGAAGGTTGCGCAGGCGGTGCCGAGGAGAAGGATTAAGAACTTGGAATCTCGGAAACGGAACCTATCATTGTCAAACTCAAAGACAGGACCATTTTCTTTTACACATACCATTGCAGTTGAAGATGCGAGTTGTCCGAGCCAGGGGGTGGCCGGATGAAGAATGCTGATGGGATGCAGACTGCCCAGAGGAGGAACCCAAGGATGCGAAAGGTCCAGGCGACGTCCACATGCTTGACCAGAACAGTAGTGACCACACTCATGACTGCTGATCCGACGCTGCCGCCGCCAAGAACGATGCCCATGGAGAGGCCTCGGTGTTTCTTGAACCAACGAATAGGAGCGGTTGAGACGGCCTTGGCTGTCAGCTTGGTCACGGTCAAGTATTGTTCGCAATCAACTCACAAAGATGGATAGCCCGCCGCCCATGCCAAACATGACGCCGTGAACAATGAACAGCGCCTCAACACGGTGAGTCAACCAACTTGCCAGAAACTCTCCAAGCCCCATCATTATTGCTCCGGTTAAAGCCGTGATTCGATACCCGAACTTTCGTACCATGAGTCCGGCCGGTATACTAACCGACACCATGAAAGACGATGCCAGGGAGCCGATGAACATCAGCGTCGTAAGTGATGTCGAGCTGGTCTCCAGCAGTCTAACTTGCATGACGCCCCAAGAATAGAGAACACCCAGATATACAAATAACGAGCAAGCGGCTGCGGTGACCACGACCCAAGCCTGCTTCCCGTCGAAATCATCGAATCCAGGCTTTTCGAGGTTACAGTCAGTATCTGATTGGCTAGCATCGTTGCCATTTTCAGATTCGGCAGACGGCATGGCCGGGAAGCTTGTGAGAATGGCGTTTTGCTTCATGATGATAATTGAGCTGCACAACAAAAAAATGAACGAAGAACAAAATACGACGAAGTATTTACCTACGTGGAAGAAAGTGCACTATGAGATATACAGGTTGATAATGTTAGATCTCGCTCATGCCGTGAGCCGTGAGAACGGCATTCGGATTTGAGGCTCTGCACGCAAAGCCGAGTCAGGGTCGGCTATCGGAAGTTTAAGGTCCACCACAACAATCAACAGCCCGAAAAGGTCACCGGGAAAGGCGTGCAATCCGAAAGCCGTGCCCGAACCTAAGCCGAGCCAGAAAGTCGGACATATCGGCTTTGCGTGACTCACTCGCGAATCTAGCACAACGGACGTTGCGAGACCTATGACTTATAGGGAGGATGTTGCCATCCTGGATGTGACATGAGAGCACTCACCTCAATTTGATTCATCGTATCTTGCACACCGAACAACTCGAAAATATCATCCTCGAACCCTTTCATTGACACAGAAATCACTGTTGCCGCATCACCATGGCTCCATCAAGAGATGACGACGTTGCGACTGAGCCTTGTCCGCTCCCTTGCAACTCATCACCGCATGCAACCTCCAAACTCTCTAAGGATGGCCATCTGCTTCATCGGTCTCTCGTTCACACGCCAGCCATGGTCGACTCTGCCAAGGGTCTAAACCTATTCCTGTCTAACGGCCAAACAGTAATTGATGCTTGCGGCGGCGCAGCCGTCGCCCTCATCGGTCACGGCAATGAAGAAGTTCAAGCCGCCATGCTCGAGCAAGCAAGCAAAGTTAGTTATGTCCACACACAAGCCTACACTACACCAGCGGCCGAGGGGCTCGCTCACATACTTCTCAACGGCAACCCGCATGGTCTGGAGAAAGCGCTTTTTGTCGGCAGCGGCAGCGAGGCTGTCGAGTCAGCCCTCAAGCTCGCCCGGCAATATTTCTACGAAAAGGGCGAGACAAAAAGGGTTCATTTTGTTTCCAGACAGCAGAGTTATCACGGAAACACGCTTGGCGCCATGTCCATCTCGTCCAACCTCGCGCGCAAAGTGCCATACGAGGGGTTCGCCTATCCCCACGTATCGAGTGTATCACCACCATACGCGTATCGCTACATGCGAGAGGAAGAGAGCGAGGCCCAATTCACAGCAAGGCTACTTCGGGAGTTGGAGGATGAGTTCCTTCGTGTCGGTCCTGAAAAGGTTGTCGCTTTCGTTGCAGAGACCATAATGGGCGCCACCTCCGGCTGTGTCACCCCACCAACAGGTTACTTCAAGGGTGTGCGCTCTCTGTGCGACAAGTACGGAATCCTCCTAATCCTGGACGAGATCATGTGCGGTGTTGGTCGTACGGGGACCTTCTTCGCGTTCGAGCAAGAAGGCATTGTTCCAGATATTGTTACTGTCGCAAAAGGTCTCGGAGGTGGATACGCAGCCATCGCAGGCGTCTTGGTCCACAGCAAAGTCGTGGATGTGCTGAGGAGCGGCACCAACGCTTTCAACAACGGACACACATACCAAGCGCATCCCATCTCATGCGCGACAGCATTGGCAGTGCAGAAGATTGTGCAGCGTGACAATCTGGTTGACCAATGTGCCAAGATGGGTCGAGTGCTAGAAGACCTGTTGCGCTCCGAGCTGAGAAATTGTCGGAGTGTCGGCAACATTCGTGGGCGGGGTCTTTTCTGGGCAGTTGAGTTTGTCCAAGATTGGGCCTCGAAAGAGACCTTTGATCCTAAAATGGGATTCGGTGCCCGGGTCCAGCAGGTTGCCTACCAAGCCGGAGTGGCTCTCTACCCTGGTGGCGGTACCGTGGATGGAACAAAGGGGGACCATATTTTGATCGCACCTCCTTTCATTGTGACAGAGCAGCAGCTGCGTCACATTTGCCAGGTCCTTCGGGCTGCCGTAGAGGCCGTCGAGGGCGAAGCCTTGTGAAAAAAGACAGTCTTATAGAATTGAATGATGAATGACAGCGTAATAGACCTATCATTGGTACAGTGCATCCAGACGTTTCCCTCCTGTCCAAATTTAAGTCATGAGATACGTCATGGTTTACGTTGAGTACAGAATATTGTTCCCGCTGGGCGACGCAGAGCTGAATGGGTGTTGATTCTGGTGAACGCAAAACAACGCCTACAGCAACTGCCATGTCCGAAATCAATTTCTCTTCCCATGAAGCTAATCCCCCTTAAGGATTGAACGTGTGAAATAACCACGTTGGCTTTGAAATCGTGTTTCAGTCTTGAAGGACCTCTTGCTCTGGCGTTTCAGTGCATGTTGTGATTATTACAAGCCCCTTACAATAGCCAACTGCGCATTGTGCGAAACATTCTACGCGCCAGTCCGTGAATCTTGCAGATTACAAGGCCCCAATTACTAGACATGCGGCATGAACAGGTACTTTGCAAGAAATCTACCGGCCTGGGACAAGCGCCCATAATGTATAAATACCGTGACAAGGACCATCAAGTAAATTCCAAATCATCAGCAACGAAAACAAATGAGCAGTAACACGTCCAAGAACGCAAAAATGAACCAAGAGATTGAGCAGACTCCTAACTCGCCCAAGATGTCTGGAACACCCGGGCCGCCCTCCCCAGCGCTGATCACAGGGGTTGAAGCACTTACTCTGCTGGGTCTGCACCCTGGTTTTGGCGATAATCTCCACACGGACCTCGACATCGAGAAAGATCTCAAGGCCGGTGACCGCGCCAAAGCACTCATGGACCTCAATGAGATGGTTTGGGACATCATTCAAAAGGTTGGCCAAGCGCAGATGAAACACAACGATGAGATGTTCAAGCTGCTCATGACCCGTGATCCTCCTTTTTGGTCTGAAGGCGACCAAGAAGGGATGAGAATGGAAATTGCGCGTTGCTCTGTCCTTGGAAATTCGCCCCTCCATCTTCTCAAGGCATCCACCAATGATGGTGGCACCGGAAACGGTGAAGATGAACTGCCGACTTTGATCGAGCTCCAATTTAGGAACCTGAGCGACATTGTCGCCCTTAACCACTGGTGGACCGATATGCTAACCGAGTGGAACAGGATCTTCGAGCACTATTTTCCTAAGCCAACTGACCAAATCGACTTCGACTTCGTAGGACCAGGCAAGTTCAATGACCGATGGTTCTACTTCATCCGAGGTACCCAACTCATGGTAAACGAATTCCGTCACATGGCAGAAATTCCTCGTGACGAGCTGACTGAGCTGGAAAATATGCTCGAAGGCGACCAACCCTGGAAGCGTGACTGTGAAAGCGGCCATGCTGCCGAACTAGCGGGGACTCCTCGGTCTGGATAGGCGACTGGACCGTCGACGAGTCTTTCAGGCCATAATGCTTGGAGCGACGAGCCTGAGGTCGGGCGGGAACCGATCTACAACCCAGCTGCGATCAGCTTGTGGACCCTTGGTGCCTTTCTCGAGGCTAAGACTGCCCTTGGACAGGACGAGTAATCATTATTGGCTGTGCAAAATCTTCCTTTCTTTTGTCGTCGGCTGCCAGTCATCGCGCCCCCCAGATTGTTAGCATTACGCAGATAAATAACCTCCGAATCTCTTCATCTTGATCCATTAAATTGCTGTGAAATGTGACATGGTGTTGTCTCCGCGGAGACTTGAGTGGGTTCCCACAAGACCGAAATTGTGAGATTCCCATACTGAGAGCTTCTTCCTGCGGGTTTATTCTCAACCAAGAGGACCATTCTTGGTATTCGTGCCCGAACGGAGAGCCTGAATAGGGACAATCACCCGCCACAGTTGTGGCGAGAACCCAAGCGACGGCAGGCTCCGTAGTAACTAAGGTTGAAACTCCGTAGGACCGCTAGATCTCATTTGCGACTAAATGGCAAATGAATGTAGCTCGGACCCATCTCTGGGCACTTGTCCCCGCTTCACACCCGACGGAACGGGTCCAAAGCCCACGTGAAAGTGGCCCTTCGAGATTCATCCACCTTTGCTGCTTGTTTGAAGATTTCTCAGGGGCAAACGGAAAGTGTCGCACCTCATAGACCCGGCTTGTAGGAATATTCGGAACTTTCCATTCGGCATAATACGAAATTCCTCTGGACTGTGCGTATTTTGGCTTCCTCTAGCCTTTGGCAAGCCGTTGGCGTCACCCAAGTGCGTCGCTCTCGGGGAGACCAAGCAAGCCTGGTGGTTGTCCCACGTAGAATCTGCCGGACCTTCTGGCTCAATGGCTATGAGGTCCTGTTCCTAGCACCGATTCCTCCAACGTGGAGCAAGGGGGCAAAGTTGGCCTTTCATTGGATAATGAAAGCGAAGACCAGGAGCAGTAAACATCCGCCATACCAGATAGTTGGGACCTAGACCTGGACCCAGATGAACCACGCGAGTCAACGCTATTGTGGGGATGAAAGGGCCGCCACGCGTACAGGGGTCATATGCGCTTTGACTTTGCGCTGGCAAATCTTGTCTTCAGGAGGCTACATAGATTGAGGTGAGGCTTGCTAGGAAGAGTAGCGTCTACGGACGCGAAGCTCTCCGTGCTGGTGGGAACACAGATTCAAGTTCTCACCCAGTTCAGCGCTGTAGCACCGAGCCTGATCAACCGAACGGTTGAATTTCTGTGGCGCTCACCTCCGGCCGGCAACCAGCCGGCCACCAGTGAGCCGATCATAGCACTATTAGCGCCACAGGAACTAGGGCACATAGGGCCTCTTAGGCATCCAGATCATCGAAAGGAGGATGAGAGGTGTCTCTCGGGTCGGTGCCTGAAGGTCTGCTTACCGAGCGCCCTCGCTTCCCCTCCACCAGGTCCTCCGCAACCCAGTGGGCTGGGTGATCTTAACTGCTTCTAGGATGTCGGTGCGTTGATTTGGAGGTATCGGCGAAGAAATGTCGACATTGACACTGATCACGTCCCAGACTGATTTCCGGACCGTGCGTTGTGGGCGACCCTAGCGCGATCTACGGCTCGTATGAAGGGGAGAAAAACTTGGCCTGATCTACAAATCTCGCCAGGGTCCCCTAGCTGCCTTCTAGGCCGCCCACTACCACGATAGTAAGATGCTAGACTGCGAAATGGGCTCAACTAGTTGCGGAAAACAAGCACTTCCCAATTCTTCAGCAAACATCTTCACGTGCTTGGCCGCCTTTCAAGAGTTCTCCGTGTTCCAGTCTCCTTGAATGACCTCAAGTGTGTGTTAGCTCCATTGTTGGGCCGGAGGACCCTTAAACGTTCAGTCTGTGCCCAACGCTCCTTGAACACCCACCTCGGTATTTCACAAGCGTCTGTTCTATGGCGGAAGTCGTTCTGCGAGAACATTTGAGAGCGGACACCCGGAAGTCGGACAGCCCACCGAGCTCCCACCTCCAAGTGACACGGCCGCTGAGTGGCGGAGGGGGATGGAGGGCCTTAGATTACTCCCATGCAAGCTGAGTCTGGTGTATCAGAAAACAACAGATGAGAGAACATGGAGGTGGCGCTCCCATCGGAACACAGCCGACCCCGAAACTGCCCACCACCTGCCATGATGCAGGCTCGTACCTTGGTCTATAGTTGGATTCTGTCTATCCTCCATAGGCCAGGGCCAGACCCATGTAATGACCACAGAGTAATGAAGCCTGTTCAGAGGGCTTGGTTCATCCTAAAGCGAGTTGCAGCGAGTCATCAAGAGGCAGGCATTATTTGGCGAGCAGGCGCCGAGAGACTAGAGGCCCAGCCGGCGTCTCAGCTCCAAGCTCTTCACCATGGCATAGCATGGATACCCCGTTCTTGGCGCCTCTGCAACGAAAATCGATCGCCGCACCGCCCCGTTTCTCCGTCTAGGTTCAAGGGCCCGTTGACCAAGCCGCGCCCGATCAAACGTGGTTGTGCCCTGACTCGGAACGTCATCCCGCTGGCGCACTTTCAGACGGACGCCAAACATGCCGTGACACCAAACCCACGCGCACAAGCGTCGCTGTCAAGCCGTAGAGTGGCCACTGCTAGAACTGTTCTTGGCAGGCACCGAACACGCTTGCAGGCACTAATACAGATTACGGCCCCTTTTTTCTCCTCTCGACGACGCCTCCTAATGTATGAGAGGAGACATGAGGGGTTGTCCATTTGGATAACCACTACATTTAACGCTGCTGTGCACCTGCGCCTGAGAACACGGACGGTTCCCCTCGCACCTTCGAAGTTAACCGGTTCCAAGGCCGTCGGTTTCTTGCAGCCGCCACAATGCTGACGCTTCTACCCGACCGCTTTGTCCTCGAGGAGGTGACAGAGTATGATATGATCATTGCCTCGCTGGCCTGGGGCTTTACACTCGGTATCGGCTGGTTGACGACATGGTCAGCCATTCAGCAAACAAGGGCCATCTACAAGCGTCGACGGAGATCCATCTTCAGAAATGCCTACGTTTGGATGATCTGGGGAGAAATCCTGGTTTGTCTTGGCTTTGGTATCATCTGCTTTATGTACCTCTTGGGGCTCATTCCCCCTAGCTTTGCATTCTACTTTTGCATCTGTCAGTTCAGGCCCACTTCCTGCACTGTATTCTTTTATTCAGAACTAACAGAAGTCACAGTGACTTTATGGGCTTTACAAGTTCAGTTCTTGCTTCAGATTATCATCAACAGATGCGCCATTCTGCTTCACGACAAGAAACATGTCTGGCGCCTCAAGTACGGCGTTGCCTTTCTCATCACGGCGATCAATATTTCTGTTTACTGCATCTGGGTCCCGGCAAGGTTGCAGATCTCCGACACATACATCCATGTGAACCTTATCTGGGATCGCTGCGAGAAGGTCATCTACCTGCTAGTCGATGCCTGTCTCAATTTCTACTTCATTCGCATCGTGCAACAAAACCTTGTTCAGCTGGGTCTCCGCAAGTACTCGAACTTGGTCAGGTTCACATGTCATCATCATCTTCTCTCTGAGCATGGATGTCCTTATCATCGCCACCCTGAGCCTGAACAACACCTTTGTGTAAGTTGCTTGAAGCCGTCGCGCATTAATACACATTTTCAGCTACTGACGGTGATCTCCCCCCACAGGTACATGCAGTTCCACCCCCTGGCCTACATCGTCAAGCTCAAGATTGAGATGTCCATGGCGGACTCATCGCCAAGATCGCCCGCAAGCAGGATACACCAGCTCGGATGAGGCTTCTCGCGCTCTCACGGCACACACGGCACCGCGGGCGGACACGACCCTCAAGTCACAGCACCCCCCTCTCTGGACGAGCCAAAGGACGGCAAGAACAGGCCGTGGGCTACTGTCACAACCACAGTTGAAATGCACACAATGAAGAAGCCCGCGCCGGGCGACAAGCCCTTTAGCCACAACGATACAGATACCCTGATCGACCAGTCGCCTACCAGCTCGTACATACAAAGAACAACAAGCGCCAGTGGGGGGCACGACGAGCCGTCGTTCAGCCGGGGCGGTGGAGGCTCGATGAGCAGCTATGAATCCATGGCACATGGAATCGAGGTGTCCGATAAGGCTGTCGCGGGGAGGGCATGATGTCTTCTACTTTCTAAGTTTGGCGTTGGAGGCTCTTTTCATTTCATCTTTTTTCAGCCAACTAGACTTAGAGACAAGACGTCTCGTTAATTTCATACAATGCCACAATTCGAGACAAGCAAACAAGAAGAGCGGCATTTCCCGCCTTGTTAGTATAGTCCTCTCGGTATCAATACTGAAGCAGAATACCTGCAGCATACAAACATGAAAAGTACGATAGACCTCGAGCGCTCCAGACTCCAACGATTTTGTCGCATTCGATTGAATTTCAGTTGTGCTTGCATGGGGACAACCAGACGGTCGGAGGCTCTGAAGCAGCCAAAACCCTCCACGCATCTTTTCTGACGTGCAAAGCTGACGCACCTGGAATTCGAGGTTCCTGTTTCTGAACCTGAAAAATTATCACGAGGGGGCCAGCCATTAATCAGTGGGTACCTTAGGTATTGAGAGATCTCACGCTATACGTAGCTTACACCATAGCCCGATGTATTGATACACCTCGCTTTGTTAACATTCCATTTCTCCCCCAGCCTCAACCTCAAAAGTTCCAGCTTCAGGCCGCCATCTCACCGATGAGGACTCTACAAAGCGTGGGGCATGTTGAGGGCCCAGCTGATGGCCTGTGTCATTGACGGATCCCTCTTGAGAGCTGCCTCCAGGAAAGCATATTTCCACTCCTGCCTGAAGTTGTCCGAAGCATCTCTGACCAGGGATGAGCACTTCCGAGAAGTAACAATAAAAATCAGGTCATGATAGTCGCCTGCCGCCCTGAGATTGTAATGCGATTTGAGTATGGTGGCCACAACAGGCCCAATCTCCAGAAGTTTGCACTCAAATGTGGCGAAGCGAGTCCTCGGAGTAAATCTCTCAACTGATCTCGCAATGCCGCGGGGAAGTACGGCGGCTAGCGATTCCTGGGTTGTCAAGTCAAACTGCACCAGCGCGCCTTTGACATCGACAAAGATTTTTGCTACCCCTACAGCCCACTGAAGCAGGGTCAAGGGTTGGTAAATGCTGCTCCTTCATCAGCCACTGGACACTTTTGAATTCTAGCACATCGAGTACGACCCGCCCAGCCCAGGCTTGGGCACCGCAGAACTTTGACCGTTATTACTGACCTTACGTGTCCGTCAAAAAGCCTCAAGAGGTCCTCTATGCGCGGCGGACTGTCCACCGCGATGTCAACACGGCCCATTGAGCGGCCCGAGCCGCATAAGAAAAGGTTCATGGTTCCCATTACTCCGTAGGAAATCTTCTTGCGCTCCAAGATACCAACAACCACAGCTAGAGCCTGCATCATCTGGTCCGGCCCTGAATGCTTTGTTCGCATTTCGAGACGGGTAACATCGTCCTGTGTGTAATGGGGCATGTTGAAAATATATGCGCAATCCAGGGAAGACTTTCAATGAATGATAAATGCGAATACAAAGATCTCAAATGTCGTAGCGCGGAGGTAGAAAACCGAAGCATCAGAAGGGGCATGACTACGCTCTTTTATGTTTCCCTTGCACTGAGCTCATATAGTGGTGTGGCGTGTGCTACGGCCTCGGCTTTTGGTCGCCAATGTCGACATGCGTTTCATAAGTGCAAAGTACCAGCTTCACTGCTGGCGTTCTGCCAGGTCGGAAAAATTGTAGAAGTGGTTTGACACTCTTTGTCCAGTAAAACAGAAGCCGGGCGAGGAGTTGGCTTGAAGGCAGGCCAACACGATTCCAGGGGACCAATGACCTGAAGAACAAAAGCGCCCCAGCCGGGCGGCTAATCATGCACTTGGTCTCGAGATGTAGGAGAGAGCGACCGAATCACCAACTGTCGATCCGATGTGCCACAACATCAGCGAATGAGGTACTCAGGCAGAGCTTCAATACCCTAAAAAAAGAATATCACTTGTACCAACTTGCGCTGGGCCCCGAGACTCATCTAGCCTCGCTCTCATGCGTTGTCTCTCACTCGTGTCCGTGCATTCACGTTGTGCTTGATCCTCCGCTGACAAGTCTTGTATTTCCCCTCCTTGATGTCCTTGATACGGTTTCTTGTTGGGATCAATGGTGCACCGCAAAGACTCATGGCGATCCAAGTTCTTGCTTGAACATGTCAGTCCCTTGGCTGCCAAAACTGATTTTTGCACTTGGCAGAATGAACCCGACCCTTTCTATGACTTCTCATAGTGAATGCCGTCCTTAGCCTACTGTATGTCGAGGTCCATTCCGTCGGTAAAGTCCTCGAGGTCGGCGCCACCATGCATGATCAAGAGCAACAGCGCGAAGTGCGACATGTGCAGATCGGGATAGGGAAAGCCCCCGTAACGGAGCTCACAGTTTCTGGATCTAGAATCGATGCAGAATCGCGACAACGGCGTCAGGATGGAATTGAAATATATTTCCTCCGTTTGAAAGATGAGATTGGAGTGGCGAGCACAATGAGGCACCATAGGCGGCAGTGTAGCAAGCTTGAGTACTTCATGCGCCAAGAAGATTCTCGCGACGTCGTTGAAGCTCTCATCAGGAACGCAGATGCCCATTTACTGGCATAGGGCTGGGTTAACAACTCCACGTGAGGAAATAAAAGGGCTGGACGCTCACACTGAACCATACTCTAACCACAAAGTACCGAAGGGCATAAACATCGATAACGCACGTGGACATTAAGACCTCAGTCAGCAGTCTGATCAGGGTTTGCACGTTCGCGATGTGCTGTGCCGGCCTCCATGGTTTCTTAGACCGAGAGATCGTTCAAGAAAATGATCAGAAAAATGTTGCCGCCGTTGTTGGTGCTGATCAGGCGCGTCGTGCTTGTCCCGTCGCATGGCTGTGCTGATACACTTGCGTTATCGAGCGGTGTAACACCCTGACTTGCGTTGCATTCAGCAGCCAGGGCCTTCTTAAGTTCTCATTTCTCATGAGCAACCGTATCTTTGACATGACTGTCCCTTACGCGATTTACTAACAGCGTGGCAATTCGTGACATGCTGAGAATTGATTCGAGAAACGTCCCTAGTGATAGTAAAAAGAGACCAATAATTGCCGGAATCACATTAGGCAGGTAATTATGGTGGTGATAGGCATTTCGTAACGTGTGAATCGTGGGCGAAGGGTGGTTCGCTGCCACCGGTAGATGATCAGCTGGGTATCACTGTCCCAAGCAGTCATGCGACGTCCAACCGCGTAATCGAGCCCTGCGGCGGAGAATGCCGATAGGGACGAATGCTGAAGATATGAATGTAGACCCTGTCTGCACAAGGTGCTCTCAGTACCGAAGTTTGACTCGCTTTCTGGTTTCTGATTACCGTCTTGGCGGAGTTCATGCTGGTGAACGGGGCCTGCCACCTTGGTCAGGCACAGAGCTGAGACATGTTCCACGGAGATGGCAGTGCGAGCCTGCACTGTCTCTGCTGATAGAAAGTCTCCATGTCGAAATCCTTT